ATATAGCTTCGCAGAGCGCTTGGCAGTGGCGGAGCACGACGCTGAGCTGGGGGGAGTGGGAGGAGCGACCGTAGAGTACGGTCAACGAGGAAGGTCTTCAGGAGCGACCTGAAGATGGGGGGGAGGAAGGGGCAAGGAGGAGGGATAGAGAAAGAGTGTTCCAGAGTAGTGGCTGAAAGTGCGGCCACCATACCGTAAGCATAATAACACACAATTATGAAGCAGGAGTGCGACCTACTCTTGCACAAATCTGCTTTATGTACCACCTGGACCTGTCTGTCTGACACTAATGGTCGCTTGTTGTGACAGGGACGAGGCTGAGATGGAATATTTGAAGATCGCCCAAGACCTGGAGATGTATGGAGTAAACTATTTTCCAATCACAGTAAGTTTTCTTTGTCTCTAGTGATGTTTCTTAGATGGGCAGTGCTTGCTGTACATCGCTGTAACAATACGCAAAGGCCCGCACTGGGATGGTGGGGAAGGGGATCTGATGAGGTGAAGTGGGAGGTAAACATGAGGCTTCCAGCTCCTCATGTCTCTGCTGTCTGGAGGTGTGAACGAAAGCTCAGTGACCTCTAATGTTGTCTCTCTTTAACAGCAAAATAAAAAGGACACAGACTTGCTCCTGGGGGTGGATGCCCTGGGCCTCCACATCTACACCCCTGATAACAGACTCTCCTCCAGGAAATCTTTTGCGTGGAGCGGGATTAGGAACATTTCATACAGCGAAAAAGAGGTAATGACGTGTAGCTTTCCCCTTCCTTTTGGTTCAGCAGATGCGAAAGTGCCTGCGGTGTATTGTTCTGGCGCCCAATTCACTTTGTTTCCCTTCAGCATTGTGTTGTGCTATGATATTGTTGGTTTGCTTGTTCCTCACTGGGCTCCGGAAATCAAACCTACCGTCATTTCCTCTACTCCCTGCAGTTTACCATCAAGCCCTTGGACAAAAAGACCGAAGTTTTCAAGTTCTACTCCTCACAGCTGCGAGTGAACAAGCTGGTAGGTTTACGTGCGCTTGTGACTTGCGACCTGCAGCAACCAATGTCTTGGGGTCTGAGCTCAGACAGCAAGTGGTGACAAGCCATTTGATCACTCGGGGGCAGTAGCTCCCATCCTCTCTTCATGCGAATGTAACAATCGTCCGATACAGAGATTACACCCAGCCCTTTGTAACTTCTGCAGCTGTGGAAAATGTCCTCCACATGCGCTCTATGAAAGGTACAACAACAAGGGTCCTTTGATGCCCTGGGACAATCTAACAAGCTGATTTTCCTGGTTTCCAGATCTTGCAGTTGTGTATCGGTAACCACGACCTGTTTATGAGGAGGAGGAAAGTGGATTCCATCGAGGTGCAGCAGATGAAAGCTCAGGCCAGAGAGGAGAAGGCCAGGAAGAAGGTGACTGACTGACTGACTTGCTGGGCCTGTGTCATTGTGCCGGTTCTTACTATTGACGCTGCACCCGTGTTCCCCACGTTGTCGTGAACCTTTCCGGGACGCTACCCTGCGTGAGGGGCGCCCTATAAATGCAAGTTGTTGTTGCTGAAAGCTACAGTGTTCTCTTTTCAGATGGAGCGTCAGAGGCTGGCCAGAGAGAAGCAGCTGAGAGAGGAGGCTGAGCGAGCGAAGGAGGACCTGGAGAGACGCCTCTACCAGCTGCAGGACGAGTCCAGGCTGGCGAATGAGGCGCTGGTGAGATCCCGAGTGAAGATTGCGATCTGTGATGTTTTGCTGTCAGTGTATAAGTCAGCCAAGGGGAGCAGTGGTGTTTGCCTGCGGAACTGCACTACCTGGCACTGACCTCCAACCAGATACTGCAATAGGGCGAGTGATGTAAATATCAGCTACAGTAATAGATATGGTGTCAGCGTGGGTATGGGTGTGGCTCGGTTGGCATCACTCTTGCCTCTTGAGTCAGGAGGATGGGAGGTTTGAGGGCACAGACACTCCAGGGAGGTTGCTGCCATCCTTCAGATGTGATGTTAATCTGAGCTGTCTGCCCGTTAGAGTGAACATGTAAGATCTCGATACTATTGGAAAAGAGAAGCGAGTTTCTTCTGGCTTTCTGGCTAACTGATTCACATGAATTCATAAGTAATTCTGTATATAATTAATGAGTCATGGCTGTTTTGGGGACCTTTCTGTATATAAATGCCAACAAAGAACAGTCCTTGCACTCGACAGGAATTGCTTGTGAAGCACTTTGAGACATAAGATAAGATAAGAGGATAAGCTGCAGTAGAAAGGTGAGCTTTTGCCCACAAAATGCAGGTACTTCACTTTACAGTATATTCTGTGAAGTGCTTTGAGGTGTCTGAACAATGTGATGAGGCGCTATATCAAGTGCATGGATTAGTATTATCATAACCTCTCTCTGTCTGTCTCTTTGTATGTTTAGCTCTGTCTCTCCCTATCTCTCTGTCTCTCCCTACCTCTCTGTCTCTTGCTGCGTCTCTGTCTCGCTCTGTGTCTCTGACTCTCTCTCTCTCTTTCTCTCTCTCCGTCTCTGTGTGTGTGTGTGTGTCTGTCTGTCTGTCTGTCTCTCTCTCTCTCTCTCTCTATCTCTGTCTGTCTGCCTCTCTCTGTCTGTCTCACTCTCTTTTCGCTGTCTGTCTCTCTCCCTCTGTCTTTCTCCCTGTTTCTCTCTCCCTCTCTCTTTCCTCCTCTGTCTGTGTCTCTCCCTCTGTCTGTCTGGTCTGTCTGTGTCTGTCTGTCTGTCGTCTGTCTGTCTGTCTGTCTGTCTGTCTGTCTGTCTGTCTGTCCGTCTCTGGTCTGTCCCTGTCTGTCCCTCTGTCTGTCCCTCTGTCTCTCCCTCTGTCTCTCTCTGTCTGTCTCTCCTGTTGTCTGTCTCTCCCGCTGTCTGTCTCCCTCTCTTTTTGTGTCTCTTGCTGTGTCTAACACTCTTTCTCCTTCACTTTCAGATCCGATCGGAGGAGACGGCTGATCTCTTGGCGGAGAAGGCCCAGATTGCAGAGGAGGAGGCTAAACTGCTGGCCCAGAAAGCAGCGGAGGCTGAGCAGGAGAGGCAGCGGCTGGAGGTGACGGCCCTGAAGACTAAAGAGGAGAAGCGGCTGATGGAGCAAAAGATGCGAGAGGCTGAGCTGATTGCTGTCAAGTTAGTGGAGGAGTCGGAAAGGAGGTAGGTCTTCATTACTCTCACAAGATTGTAATGTGTGGAGTAAATGGTAGCAAAAGGGATTGTGCTAAAGGTAGTTTTATTAAAGATGGGCAGTACTTCAGTGCCCTGGGACGTCTTTCTGATGTGAAGAGCGCTATACAAGTGTAATTTGTTGTTGTTGTCGCTGGGTTCTAAATACAGTGAGCCTTTTTGTCAGTGTCACTGTAACAATGTGGACACAGAGGCTTAGAGACCATAATTGCAGATTGATTTCATGGTTTAGAGAGAGCTGGATCATTAAGAGAGGTGGAGAACTGGCAGACAGAGGAACAGATCGATAGAGATGCCAATGAACTAATAAAATAGCTGAGTGGGTGCGACGGGCTGAATGGCTTCTGTGTGTAATGAGTTGCTAAACGTTCTCACTTTAGGTCCAAGGAAGCTGATCAGCTGAAGCAGGACCTGAACGAGGCTCGAGAGGCCGAGCGCAGAGCCAAACAGCGGCTGCTGGAGATCACCAAGCCCACTTACCCAGTATGTCCAAACCTCAGTGCAGAGATCGATCATGTCAGCGCTCTTCCCCTTGTGCTTTCCGAGTACCTCAAGTGTTTGGTGTTAACCCCAGCGTCTCCTTGGGCTGAATGTTGTGACTGTTGCTAATTACTATGTCATGCTGGGTTTGAAATGCCACAATGGTGCTGTGTGTGTCTTCTCCAGCTGATTGCCTCTTACTCAGCTCATCCGCCAGCTGATGTTGGAGATCTGAACCTGGAAACGGGATCGTTCAAGTTTGAATTTAAGGACTCGGATATGAAGCGGCTTTCCATGGAGATTGAGCGGGAACGGTACGCAGGCTTGTTTCGCTCCACTGAGAAGCTCGGTCTTGTCGCTTGCGGTCGTACGTACTCAGTATATGACCATCTGTGTGTCTGTGTCTCTCTCCGCAGCGTGGAGTACATGGAAAAGAGCAAACGGCTGCAGGAACAGCTGAAGGAGCTGAAGACTGAGATTGAGACCCTGAAGCTGGAGGAGCAGCACGGAGGTCTGCCAGGCCCAACCAGCACAGCTCTGCACTTCCCACCACTTGGCAACGTGAGTGTCCCAGGCCGGGTCGGGGTGTGGGGAGGGAATGGGATGGTTAATAACAATGTCTCACTGTTTTCTTCCAAGCCTGTGGGGGGTGGGGGTGGGGGGTGCTGCCTCTGTTAGGGTGGGTGAGTGAGTGGGGCAGGGGATTACACTGGCACGCTAATCACTGCCTGGCACATGCAGAGACCTGGACCAAGATTTGCGGGAAGTGTCGAGTGACGGAGAAGACAAAGGTATTGAGTTATTGGCAGGTATCCTCACTTTACTAGCACTGACTCTATAAACCAGGGTGGTGAATATTCACACTGTATATTTTGTGAAGTAACTTGTATAAAGCCTCAACTTGCAATAGTTTAATAAGATATTTCAGATGTGTGTTCTCTTCCCTACTCTCTGGGAAAGTGTGTAACTGCAAGTGTTTGTTGCACTAACTAGGCTGGAAGTCACGAGGCTGAGATTATCTACATTTGAGTGCCCGCAGTGGGCTGCAATGCCATCGAGACCGAGGTGAATAGCCCAGCTCTATGGTGTGCTCTATGTGGTGTCATGAGTGGCTGCTTTGCAGGGTGCTTTCAGGGGTGGTGTAGGGCGCTTTGGTCACTCAATCCACAATTGTTTGTGGGACATTGCTGTGCGCAATTGGCTGCTGCGTTTCGCCCACAAAATATATAGTCAATTCACTTTACAGTATACAAAAGGCAAAGTACATCAGATGCTGGAAATCTGAAATAAAACTGTTTGCAACATTATTTATGGACTGCAATTCCACAACATAACAATATACCTGTGGTAAGATAGTCAGATTTAGGAGAAATGTTACAAATTAAAATGCTTTTGAAATACAGATGTTTTGTAACCTACGGCACCTTTTCATACTATAAATGTAGTCATTGGTGCTCATTGCAGTGCAGCCGAACAGTAGGTCTCCTTGGCCCACAAAATACACAGTCACTACACTTTACAATATATTCTGTGAAGTGCTTTGAGAAGTCTTGGAAGACGTGATAAGGCGCGATATCAAATGCAAGGATTATTATATTATTATTGGCTCAGGTAACTGGACAATCAACCCTGATCAGCCAGTGTTTGTATGGTGAGTTTCTTCCTGTTCTTCTCTCTTTGTCTGGGTGAATGGCTTGGGGGGCACGGGAGGGGCTGTGGGCCTGATGTTAGAGGTGCCTCAGCCATCTGATCGGGGACAGATGACCAGACACTCTGCGCGGGGTGACTGTTCTTCAGATACCTGGCACCTCTCTCTCTCTGGCCGACCTCTCCTGACTCGGCTGCTGGGGTTTCTTTCAGTTTGGGGTCTGCAGCTTCCGCAGGTGGCTTTGTTTTTATACTAAGTTGGAGCATAAGAACATAAGAATTAGGAGCAGGAGTAGGCCATTCGGCCCCTCGAGCCTGTGCCCCGCCATTTGATAAGATCATAGCTGATCTTCAGACCTAACTCTAATTACCTGCTCTATCCCCATATTCCCTCTATGTTTTAAAAAATCTTTCAGTCTCAGCCTTGAAGATGTTCAAGGACTGAGCATCTACAGCCCTCTGGGGTAGTGAATTCCATAAGTTCACTGCCCTCTGAGTGAAGAAATGTTTCCTCAAATCTATTCTAAAAGGCTGACCCTTCATTTTATAGACTCTCCTACCGGGGAAACAGACCCTCAGTGTCTACTTTATCAGCCCTTTAAGAATCTTATATGTTTCAATAAGATCTCCCCTAATTCTTCTGTACTCTAGAGAATACAGCCCCAGTTTATTCAGCCTATCCTCACAGGTCAGTCCCCTCATCCCAGGAACTAACCGAGTGAATCTACGCTGCACCCCCTCGAGGGCAAGTATGTCCTTTTATAAATAAGGAGACCAATACTGCACACAATACTCTCGGTGCGGTCTCACCAAAGCCCTATACAGTTGCAGTGAGACTTCCCTACTCTTGTACTCTAAACCTTTTACAATGAACGCTAACTGCCGTTCACCTTCTTAGTTGCTGATGCACCTGCAAACTAACTTTTTGAGACTGGTGTACAAGGACACCCAAATCCCTCTGAACACTTACCACTATCTAATCTCTCCCCCTCTAGAAAATAATCTGTTTTTCTATTTTTTCTACCGAGGTGAATAACTTCACACTTCCCCACATTAAATTCCATCTGCCACCTACTCGCCCACTCCCCTCGCCTATCTATATCCCGTTTCAATCTTTTTGCATCGTCCTCAGAGCTCACTCCCACCGAGTTTAGTGTCATCCGCGAATTTAGATATGTTACATTCAATGTCCTCGTCTAGATTATGAGCAGTTCAGGAGCTATGTAAATACAAGTTCTTGTGACTGCAACTGAATGTGGCTGCACAGCAGGAGCTATCCGATGAGCACAAGTTGGGCGCTTGGTTTCCTGCTTTACTGTTGACAATGTGAAACTCTGTGTAACCACCTTTACTTCTTTCCCCCTCTCGTTCTGCAGCTGAATTTACAGAGTGTAGCTGCAAAAACACAAGTGGCCTTCCTGGAGGAGCTGTGATGTGTAGTGCTGTGACGTGGGGTTGCCTGCAAGTCAATGTCATTCATTCCTTTAGCGACTACCTTTCTCAGCGTCGTTCAGGCACAAGAGAGGAGCAGGCCCTGTGGGTGCCAGTGCTGTGACTGACTGGCTGGTGCTGTGTAAATATTCCCCATTTGGACTTACAGCAGCTCCATGGCAATGCTTCCACATTACAGTCACTGAGCAAACTCAACACTAAGTGGGAGATTTATCCCAGTAGAAATTCGAAATAAGACACTTTTTCGTGCTTTGTTGATAAGTGTTTATAAGGCGATGTGAAGTTACTTCAATCCCTGAAGGACAACGTCTCCGAGCTGCTCATTGACAGTATTAAACAGAGGCATGCAGAGCCTGCTCATCGCTGCTAATAGCCGGGGCTGTCAGTGGTGCTGCTCCTCACCCCTGTGCTTTCACTGCTCTTCATGCCACTGACGTTCAGCTCATGCTGCGGCGCTAATTGTTTTAACATAACACAACTCGCCTCTACTGCCGTGTCCCTAAGACGTCAACTGACAGAGTTTAATCAAGGTAATATTTTATATTTTAACCTTTATTTGAAAGATGGGATGGAATTCCCGGGTACCCAAACACCTCCCAGAGCTGCTGGGGTTGATGTGCACGACTTGTGATGCCTTATAAACTAAACAACATTTACCACAAATTAGACCCTTTTAAGCTCTATTAGTTGCATTAGTATTAAGTACTGAGTATTATATCCAGTACATATCTTGTTTATGTTGTCTAGTAAACTAGTTTTTAAGATCCTGATTTTGTTTATAGTGTTCTATCAAACATATCAACAAGGGAATGCCCAATAAACTGCTGCCTCAAGGCAGATTAGGGTTCACACCCTTCCTATCACCGAAGCCTTATACTATGAGATTATACAGTTCACATGTGTGCCTAGTAACCAGGTTTATTACACTGCCTGAGGGCATAGTGCTGGCCAAGTACATCTTAACTTGGATAAGGAGTAGAGGCAGTAACTGAGCGTGGTATACACTGACATGAAACCAGTGACTCAGACTCACTACATCACCGTGTTCTCTATTGGAGGTTTCTCACAAAGGCTCTCGCAGTGTAAATTGTTGTCAAATTATAAAACATTTGTACTGCCAATAAGATGCAATTCACAAAGAGCTGAGATGCCTGGACACAATACTGCCGGAATGGTCAAATACTTTCTAGTTTAGGGTAGAACTAAACTAAGTTCTCTCTCTGAGCTGTGAGGGCGGTTCTGTTAGTGTACATTGTAATGTAAAATTCATGGTTATGACAGAAAGCACAGCCTGTTGTTCTATCATTTTTCTGACCTTTTAAGGAAGCAGTGAGATCTCAGAGGCCGACTTTAACGTTAGCTCCTGGCTTGTGAATTCCTGACTATAGCCAGCTACACACCAGTGCAGTTCTGATTGACTGAACAATGTAAAATGTTCTGTCAGTGCCAAACAACCAAAGGGTGTGTATTAAACCAAACCTTTGTAATAACTTATAAATAAACCTTTTAGATAAAATTACTAGTTATTACTGACTTACATTTCTTGGCCAGATTAACTCTATTTTGCTTTACTTTATAAAAAAATCCATTATTTATTTTTGGTTATCTACTGCCTAATTAGTGCTTATACTGTGCAGGTGCACCAAGGCAATTGGGGTTCCTTGTTATTTATTTAACAACTTTCTTGGTTAGGGTGCACTAGTAGCTTTATTCTTTATTTCATGTAGTGGGGAATTGATACGAAACTCCTTACACCTGTATCAGGGAGTAAGCCTATTTACTGTAAATTCATAATGCAATTTTGTATTTCCATTCTGTTCAATAAAATGTTTCTCATCTTAACTCTGTTGCGTTTGGATATTGATCACCTGGCTATTTTTTTCCTCAATCTAATTGAGTAATATCCGTTGATTATTAATATTATTATTAATATCCTTCCCTCCCCTCACCCTGACCATTTGCCCCCTGCTCGGGTCATGACCCAACTGTGCAGCGCCTTGGGACGTCCTCCTGACGTGAAAGGCGCTTTATAAATGGAATCTTGTTGTTGTTGTTGTTGTTATCCTGAATGATACAGATCCACGTGCACAGGTACAGACACATCCAGACCTAGAGGTAGAGGAGAGGAACAAGGCTAATCCAGTGTTTAAGGGATAAGCTACGAGGAACGACTAGATATGGAAGGGCTTTTCAATCTTAATAGATACTGTACAACAGGAAAGGTAAATAAACTGTGACAGCAGGACAAGAGCGGAGAGTGCTGGGTGTAAAGTACACTTGGAAGCATTTTTTACCTAGAGAGCTAGAACAGATTACCAGGAAGAGTGGTTGCGGCTGGGACTCTGGACTTGTTTAAGAATGAGTAATGAAGTAACAGGCAGATGGTCAGGAGGCTATGGTGAAAGTCGTTGCACACTTATTGGCAGAACTCATTTTTAAATTATCCACATTTATTGTTGCTTTAAATAGTTTATTCTGTTAACAAACAGTTCATTCCAGCTTCTCATCTCCCTCTTCCACCTCCTTTAAGCTGAGAACCTCCAGAGAGCCTTTCCCCTTCGTTTCCCGACTGATCAAATCGTCCATTTCCCTGAAGCAGCCGGGGTCAATCAATGCAACCTGCAATAATAAGGGTAGCCACAGCTCAGCTCTACTCCATCTAAACACCCAGGCACTGCGGAGATTTCAGATACCACAAACCCTTGTTCCTTCCACACTCCTCTGCCTTACACCTTTTCTCCCTTCCAAAAAGTTTCTAAATGCTTATCTCTTTGGCTGTACTTTTGATTCCCCCCCCTGCCAATAAAGCACTTTTTATTCAGCTTCTTGTTTGTTCAAATCTGTTAACAAGGGAAATTTTAGGACGAGGTTAAGACTATTTGACCCAGTAATCCTCCTCTTCATTACACTGTCTGCATTCCCTCTTTCTCCAGAAATGCATCTAGTTACAACCAATAGCAGGTACTCGAATAAACTTTGTGGTACCGGGTTCCACACTGTTGTGTGAAGTGCGCCTGACTTTCTGATTTCCTCCCCATCCTGTCCCTCACTATCTGGACCAATGGCCCTGATTCCGCTCACAATGTGTAACAATCCATCAGGTTTTCCCATGGGAACAAGCCCAATGTCCTAACTTTCCCTCCAAGCTTTCATTGCTGAATCTCATGGCAATATTGCCCATTGCCCACTCCCCCACCCCCAATCATTGGCAAACGCTAGTTATGTTGGTGTCTGGCTGCAGCTTACAATTTCTAGCTCGGTGGAAAATTCTTCGCTCTCGGTGACTTTGATGAGGGGTTTCAGCTTCTCTTTGAGGCGCTTCCCTTCTTTGGGTGGGAGTCGGAGCCGCAGCCTCATGTGAGCGCGTTCGATCTGCATAGTCTCCTTCAGCAGTCGGATTACCTCCAGCGCCTGTTGGGAAAGGAAAGGTTATTCCAGAAGTGTAGACGGGAAAGGAAGCGTATTATTCCAGAAATAGTGATGGTAAAAAGCTGAGCTTGAAATATTCCTGACTTCCTCTAACTTGCACTCGGCTCAATGTCGCTGTGAAAGTTACTGACGATAGTATCTATATTGAAGCTGCCCAACTCCACCTCCAGGTATTTCAGCTGCCAACACATCACCTTCCGCAAACAGATGTACTGTGATCTGGTGTGAATCTGTCCCTCCCATTTGCTGCGGGGGAACCTGCCTGCTGCTTTGTGCCCTTGGTGGCTTTAACCGAGTAGTGGATGTCCTTCATGGCTCGTTCAATCAGGTTGACTGTGTACGGCCGCTTTGTCTCGGGATTGACGCACTTCTCGGCCACGATAGTTGCTATGTCTCGGAACATCTGCTCCAGCTGTGCATGTCGCTCCTTGTCGGACACTTGTAACTCGCCTTTCGCCAGAATCTGGGAACAGAGTTCATATTTGAAATTAAATAACAGGTTTGAAGGGATAATAAATACTACTGGGCTGAGAGACATTTCTGAATCTTATAAAAAGGAGGTACGTGTAGCTTTACCAGACCTACACACAGAAACAGCCCTACAGAAACAGGCTGCAGCATCAGATGTCTTTTGAAAACAAAATAACTTTTTTTAATATAAGAATTTTTAACCAAGATTCAACCTGAGACAGAATTGTGTACATTCCTTATTTACAGCTGTTGTATATCATTGTGATAGGCTTCTTTATTTCTCTTCAGTCTCTTTGATTTCATTCCTTCTCAAATTCCCATCTTACTGCCTTCCCAACAAGCTGTTTGTTAAACGAGTCCCAGCTCCTACCACCCCCCCGTTATCCGTGATGTTTGTGATGTCACAACAATAATACTCCAAAAACAACAAAGTCCTTTTCTGGGCCACTAGCAACCAAACTGAGAGTCTCCTGTCCGTGTCAGAATTTGATTGGAATGACACTGATCACCTCTGGCTATTTCTCAGTGGACAGCAAACAGATAGAATAATGGCAGGAATGAGTGTGGTAATATTGTTGTACAAAATTCATAATAGGTCTCTGTAGCCATCTCCAAAAGCAGGACACATTGAAACTGAAATCAACTTTGTTGATCTTTGTTCTCAAGTGGAGCTATGCTGTCTGCTGGCATCTGTGACTTCACAAGGACAACAATATTTTTCATTTGATTAGCTGGCCACTTATTGAATTGAACCTCTGTTGTAACAAAATGGTGAGTTGTATCTGCTCTCACACCCGTTCCCCACGTTATACACTGTGGACCTGAGCTGACCATTCTCGTCCCGTATCCACAACCTCGCTTCTGACCAGCATTGTATGTTTGTTCCAGTTAACACAATCTCTTAGTTCCTCATCTGCAACCCGATTATTTTACACACTGAGCCAACCTGTTCTCCTTCATAGATGGGAGCTCCTACAGGCTAGATATTTTCCAAATTAAAACTTGTCAGTTCATTTATTCCAGAGCTTCCCAAGTAATGAGTCACGTTTTAGAAGACAATGTGTCTCACACAGACCTGCTTGCAGACTTCAGTCTGGTTATCCACTCCAAACGCTTTGACATAATCCTCCTTCTTTGCCACTTGTCCCTTTGATACATTAGTAAACACTGTGTGTGTCTGCAGGACCTCGTCCAGGTCCTTCTCGCTGTAAATACAAGAAGCAATATTCAAAACCGCTCCATTCATAAGGACAGAATGTACAACAAATATACAGTCAATTCACTTCACAGCATATTCTGTGAAGCGCTTTGAGACGTTGAGAAGATGTGAAAAGCGCTATATCAAATGCAAGGATTATTATGACTCTTACATTATACAACAAGGATGGAAAATTCACTTGTATCAATCGCCACCAGAGACTTCGCCCTGTCACCGCACCCTGTGAAAAACTTTCTACCATTATCTGAGGTCTGACTGTTGCCGCTTTTAAACCTAACCCACGTTTGTGTAGTGCTGACAGGCCATGCTCAGTTCCCCTCAGAGTGCTCCTCTTTCCATTAATTTGTAGTTCATTAATCTCCACTAATCATTTGCTACACCACATATACTTATATTGTCAATGTAATATTCAACACGTTCCCTGTGTCCGCACTGAAACAAGGGTAAAGACGACTCTTTGGCCTACTGGATCCCATCCTTCCCGAATCCTCACCTCTCATTACAGCATCAAGCTGTTCCTTAATGTCTTAGCTTCTACCATTCTTCCTGATAACCTGCTGTAACCGTTGATCGCCCTCTGAGTAAAAAAAAACACTTCTGATTCCCCGAACCAAATGGCACACAGTCAAGAGTCAAGTGGGCTCGGGCGGTTTCCTCCCTCAGGCTCGGGCTCTCCCCTCTTCAGTGAGCGACCGGAGGAAGTCTCACACAGTGTAAGTCGATTGAGGATTGAGTCGTGTAAGATTGGTACTGATTGGGGGAGTGGATGGCGCTTTGCCTTTCCCAGGCCTGGTGCCCACACAGCCCGGGTGTGAGTTCACAAAGCGGCTGACTCCAGCCTCAGACGCTAACCAGCACCACGAGCTTCCTGACGCGGGTTGGGAGGAGGTGAAAATATGGCCAGGGAGCGATGCATCGCTCCCTGGCCATATTTTCACCTCCTCCCAACCCGCGTCAGGAAGCTCGTGGTGCTGGTTAGCGTCTGATAACCATTGTTGTCACATTGCCGCTGAGTTCCCACAGTTGGCATTTTGACTCGTGGAGTCCTGTAGCTCAGTGGTTAGAGCAGTCGCTTTGCAAGCGAGAGACCGGAGTTCAATTCCAGGCAGAGGGCGAAACCTTGGGCAAGTTTCCTTACTCCACACAGAGCCTAATAATAATCCCTCCAAAACCAAAAACAATAATAAATTGGTCATTTTCAATCTACGACTGTTTGTGGGACATTGCTGTGCGCAATTGGCTGCCGCGTTCGCCCACAATTTACTTTACAGTATATTCTGTGAAGCGCTTTGGGACGTCGAGAAAACATGAAAAGCCCTATATCAAATGCGAGGATTATTATTATTATTTGCAGTCATTAATACTTAATACTTTATACTTATTAATATTAGTCATTAATAAGGAATCCTGTTGTGAATGGCCACAGTGTGGAGCGCGGGGCGGTATTGTACGTAAACAGGGTGCGTGTGCGGCGTGTGCGCGCGCGTGTGTATAAGCCGCCCAGCCCAGCGCGTGAGTGTCACCCACAGTCACTACATCGAGCGCTCACTACACGTGAGTAGCTTCAGCCAGGCACGCGCGCTGCCACACGGCTACACGTACCGTACGCGTACATACACGCCGGCTACACACAACAACAACAACTTGCATTTATATAGTGCTCCGGGACAGGGCGGCGCCCGGAGAGTACACGCCACCACACACACAGTTAATGACGTGTCGCTGTTACATAACCATCCGTGTCAATCCATGGAACACACATGTATGTGCATGTACATCAGCTCCATGTGTATCTGGGGGGTGGGGTCGGGGTCGGGCCTGAAGCCGGGGGCTGGGGTGGCGGCGGGGCCCGGGGTACTCACGCTCCGCTCCGCCAGCTCAGCACCTTGTTGCGGTAACACGCGATCTCGAAGCGCAGCCCCGCCCTCCTCATGCGGACAATCGCCACGTTCGTCAGGCGGATCTGGTTCGTGGGGGTGAAGATAGACATGGCCCCGGCTTCAGGCCCCTCTCCCCGGCCTCCCGCTGGCCCCTCTCCCCGGCTTCAGGCCCCTCTCCCCGGCCTCCCGCTGGCCCCTCTCCCCGGCCTCCCGCTGGCCCCCTCCCCGGCTTCAGGCCCCTCTCCCCGGCTCCGCTGGCCCTCTCCCCGCTCAGGCCCCTCTCCCCGGCCTCCCGCTGGCCCCTCTCCCCGGCTTCAGGCCCCTCTCCCCGGCCTCCCGCTGGCCCCTCTCCCCGGCTTCAGGCCCCTCTCCCCGGCCTCCCGCTGGCCCCTCTCCCCGGCCTCCCGCTGGCCCCTCTCCCCGGCTTCAGGTCTCTCTCTCTGAACTCGCCGGCGCTTCAGTTCCTCCTGAGCCGCGACTCCTCGGCAGCGGCCGCTCCCCGTGACTGTGACTGACTGACTGCCGGAGGGGGGGTTGGGGTCAGGGGTCACCCGGGGGGGGGGGTCAGGGGTCACTCTGTTTGATTGTTGGTGTTTATTTGGAGTTCTCTCCGCTCTTCATTGTCTCTTCACTTGTGGATTGTCCTCACTCTCCGCTCTCAAATCTTTGTGTCTGTCACTCCCCCCACCCCCCGTCTGTCACTCCCCCCCCGTCTGTCACCCCCCCGTCACCCCCCCCGTCTGTCACTCCCCCCCCCGTCACCCCCCCGTCTGTCACTCCCCCCCCGTCACCCCCCCCCCGTCTGTCACTCCCCCCCGTCACCCCCCCCCCCCGTCTGTCACTCCCCCCCGTCTGTCACTCCCCCCCGTCACCCCCCCGTCTGTCACTCCCCCCCGTCTGTCACTCCCCCCCCGTCACCCCCCCCCCGTCTGTCACCCCCCCGTCTGTCACTCCCCCCGTCACTCCCCCCCCCGTCTGTCACTCCACACCCCGTGGAGATCTCTCCACTGTCACTCTCTCTCTCCACTGTCACTCTCTCTCTCCACTGTCACTCTCTCTCTCTCTCCACTGTCACTCTCTCTCACTGTCTCTCTCATTGTCTCTCTCTCACTGTCACTCTCTCTCTCATTGTCAAACTCTCTGTCACTCTCACTGTCTCTCACTGTCATACTCTCTCACTATCTCTGTCACTCTCTTGCTCTCTGTCACTCTCTCACTGTCACTCTCTCTCACTGTCACTCATTGTCACTCTCTGTCACCTCTCACTGTCACTCTCTCACTATCTCTGTCACTCTCTTGCTCTCTGTCACTCTCTCACTGTCATACTCTCTCACTGTCACTCATTGTCACTGTCACTCTCTGTCACCTCTCACTGTCACTCTCTCACTGTCTCTCACTGTCACTCTCTCTCACTGTCACTCTCTCACTGTCATACTCTCTCACTGTCACTCATTGTCACTGTCACTCTCTGTCACCTCTCACTGTCACTCTCTCACTGTCTCTCACTGTCACTCTCTCTCACTGTCACTCTCTCTCACTGTCACTCATTGTCACTCTCTCTCTCTCTCACTGTCACTCTCTCACTGTGCGCCTGTGACAGGGCGGAGCTGAGGCGGCGCATGCGCTGTGCTGGCGGCCCTGTCAATCCCAGAGTGCTTGACGGCAGTAATGGCGGCGCTCAGGGGCCGGGGAGCGGCGGCCTGGGTCCCCCTCGGCCTGGCCCTGCTGCTCCTGCTGCTCCTGGGGCCGCGGCTGCTGGGCGCCGAGCAGCGCCGGGAGGGTAAGGGCCGAGGCCGAGCCGCAAACTAACCTCTCGGGGTTTCCGGGGCCGCGGCCTCGCTCCTCCCCGAGGCCGAGACCGAGGCCGCGGCGCAGGCGCGCTGGGCCGAGCGCGTGTGTTGGTGTCGCGGGAGAGGGCGGGAGGCGGCCCCGGGCTGTGCGCTTCCTCGGCTCAGGCCGGAACCGAGGCCCCGGGGCCTCCAGACGGTACAGAGGTCCCGTGACGTCTCCCCGTCTCCAGGACAAACCCCCCAAATAAACCCGGTCCCTCACGGCTGTTGGTCAGACTTTACCGCAGGAGAACCGCCGCCAACAAACACAGGACATCAGTCGGGACCAAACATTTCATAGGGACTTGTGTCAAACTTACCGATACCGAGAACATAACGGGACTTGGGCCGACGTTCCGATTTAGGCGATTATACGATTTACACAGATCAGGACTCCCGCGAGGTTCACCGGAACTGCGCTTTACTGCTCACTGGCGCTTTCCTACAATTCCTCGTGAAGTGTTTTTTTTTGTAGATGTTTTGATGTGGTAGAGAGGATGTGTCAAAGGCCGAGTTTATCGTTGTCATTGAGCTCACTGCGGGGGGGGGCAGCCATCACTGCAACTGGTCTCATTCTCTCAATGTGTGTTGGGGTTGGGGGGGGGTCGAGGGAAGAGAATAAAATATAATCCTTACATTTGATATAGTATAGAGCCTGTCATGTTGGAAGGCTGTCTCAAAGCGCTTCACAGAATATACTGAAAATGAATTAACTGCATATTTATGAGCGAATGTAGGTGGTCCTTTCCCTGTGCTGTAAATTGATTGTAAATTGACAAACTGGGTCGTGCAATGACAGCTGTCTGGTGTTTAATGGGTTTATTTGATTTATTTTGCCTGATTATTGTATTATTATTGCTGATTTTGTTCCCTTTCTCCCCCCCCCCCCCCCCCAGACCACATCTTTGATGTTTGGAGCTCTCTGCAGAGTTACCTGTTATCGTTATGGAACTCGAGACTCTACATCTATTGCACCATCGCGGTTGCAGTAGGCATTTGGGCTGCCATCGAATTCCTAAGCAAACGTCACAAGAAGGTAAGAACCTGCGCTTACACATCACATGTTATACAGGATGAACCTCTCAAAGTGCTGAACAGATATGATGGGAAAATGGAAATAAAGGGAGAAAAGCACAATCAGAGACATTTTTAAGGGGATTTTGAGGCACAGACAGAGAGAGAGAGAGAGAGGAAGTGATAGATGAGAAGAGTGCTGTGATTCTATTGTGCCACCTCCTCCAATTCAGGATCTCAGGACTGGAATTCCTCTCCTTCCTCAATCTTTCCTTGGCTATATAATAATAATAATAATCCTTGCATTTGAAGTTTAATGTGGAGAAACGTGAAGTGATGATTTTGGGAGGAAGAATGAGGAGAGGCAATATAAGCTGATGGTACAATCTTAAAGGGGGTGAAGGGACAGAGAGACCCGAGGGTTCATACAAGTCAATCTTTGAAGGAGGTCGGACAGGAAGATAAAGCTGTGAAAAAAGCGTCCGGGATACGAGGCTTTATAAATAGGGGCATAGAATACACAAGTCAGGAAGTTATGATGAGCCTTTATATAAAACACTGGTTAGGCCTAAGGGAGAGACTGTGTTCAGTTCTGGGCCCCACACTTTAGGAAGGATGTCAAGGCATTGGAGAGGGTGCAAAGGAGATTGACCAGATTGGTACCAGGAATGAGGGGCTTCAGTGATCAGGAGAGGTAGAGAAACTCGGATTATTCTCCTTGTAGCAGAGAAGGTTAAGAGGAGACTTAATAGAAGTTTTCAGGATTACAAGGGATTGGATAGGGTGAACAGGAGAAACTATTCCCATTAGCGGTGGGTTGGGAACCCGAGAACACCAATTTAAAATAGTTGTTAAAAGAAACAGAGGGGAGGTGAGGAGAAATGTTTTCACACTGCGAGTTGTTGGGATCTGGAATGCATTGCTTGAAAGGCTGGTGGAAGCCAATTCGATAATAACTTTTAAAAGAGAAGTAGATAATTATTTGGGGAGGACAAGTTTGCAGGGCTATGGGGAGAGAGCGGGGGAGTGGGGTTGATTTGGATAGTTCTCTTTATAGAGCTGACACAGACACAATGGGCCGAATGGCCTTCTGTGCTATATAATTCTATGATATAGCACCTTATGTCTTTGATACGTCTCAAAGTGCTTCACAGATTATACTGTAAAGTGAATTGACTGTATATTTTGTGGGTGAAACACGGCAGCCAATTGCGCACAGCAGTGTCCCATAAACAGTCGTGGATTTTAAGTGACCCAATTTATTATTATTATTTTTGAAAGAATTATTACCCCTGGAAAAGCGATCCATCAATTAACTAACAACCGGGTTCCTACTTACTGCTAGGTGAACAGAAGCATGTGGAGTAAGGAAACATTTCGCCCCGTCAGTGAATGAAACCTTTCGAGGCGAGTGCTCTAACCACTGAGCTACAGGACTATATTTGTTAAACCGAGCCCTAGAGAATGTGCCTAGATCCTGCATTGATTGCAGACATTGAAGCTGAGACCGCAGAAGATTTGATGTTAAAAGAATTACAGTATACACATAACTGTGACAATTTCCTCAGCAGAATGAAGATGTGAAAAGCAGCATTGTAAAACAAGAGGTGATTGAGAATGGCCACATAGTTCATGAAGAAAAGGGAGTCCATGTTGTGGGGGTGAAGATTTTCTTTGGCTCACAGACAGGCACCGCAAAGGTACGGCAGTAATCAAGTCATTATTATTATTATCAGATCTGAAGATTCATTAAAGAGACCTCTGACTCTCAGATAGCATCTGTGAGAGGGATGATTTGAAGCCAAGCCTATGAGAGAGTAGAAGGGATGTGGACGCTGAGTGCTTGGTGATTGACTGCTGTGCGGATTAAGAGGGACGAAAGAGATAATAGCCAATGGCGGTTCAAGTCAATGGTGAAAAATTAGGAAGCGTTTGCTCTGCAACAAATTATGGGATGACATTCCCTGAACCTGGTCCTTTCTCGGTGCTGATGGCAGTCACGTCCTGTCCTGCACACATTCGCCTCTGTGTGGCAGCAGAGATGCTCGGGGGTGATTTCATTGAATAACCTCCAATCCACAACTCCTCTTGACCACTCGCTGTTTATAGTTGTAACTTTCACTGGAAATGATAGAGGAGGTGAGTACACTTACTGTGCAGTCTGTCATTGGTTTAATAGAATGCTAGAAAGTGTACAGCACAAGAGGGCCATTCAGCCCGTTGTGTCTATGCTGCTGCTAGCTCTCCCATTGGAGCTCTCCGCTCTAATTCCATTCCTTTCATGTTTACCATCCGTTTACTATTTTTCCTCAAGTAGTTATCCACTTTATTTTTAAATGAATGTTGTTACAGACTTGATATTCCACATTTGAGCAACCTGCTATTTGTAACCTCCTGCTAGTTTGCTATTTGGAAGGGTAATTGTTGAATTCTACTTCAGGGCTTTGCCAATACACTGTTGGACGCAGTAAAGCTTCTTGGTTTACCTGTGGAGGTTGTAGACCTGAAGGAGTACGATCCAGACGACAACCTTGTGGACGAGGTTAGTTATTTTGTGCTGAGGTTGGTGATGTACACAGCCCTGGAGTAGTAATCATGTGATGGAAGGTAATGGTGGAGGGCGGGGGGAAAGCAGGGAGATCGAAAGCACGGTCGAAGAGGAGGGTCTTGAGGTGGGTCTTGAAGGTGGCGAGGGAGGGGGCGAGACAGAGGGACTGCAGGATGGAGTTCTAGAGAGTAGGGGCAGAGTGGCGGAATGTCCGCCTGCCGAGAGTGGGGTGAGCGAGGCGGGGACGTGAAGCAGGCCAGAGCCTGGTGAGCAGAGTGAGCGAACAGCGTGGAAGGGATTTAGGTGGTCGCAGAGGTAGGGGAGCAAGACCATGGAGGGCTTTGAAGATGAGGACCAGGATCTTGAACTGTATCCTTTGTGAGATCGGAAACCAGTAGAGTTGGGCGAGGATGGGGGTGATAGGTTCAGAGCCTGGTGCGGGAGAGGACATCGGCTGCAGAGTTCTGGGTGATCTGCAGCCTGTGGAGGGAAGCCGACAAGCAGTGAGTTTGCATCGTCGACCCTCGATGTAATGAAGGCGTGAATGAGGGATTCGGGGGCCTGTGGTGTGAGACAGTGTCGGAGCTATACAATACTGCATTTGACTTTTGTCCGTGAAAACAAATTTCAGAATTAAATTTTATTCGGAATCGCACAGATGTTTTTTTTTAAATGTGAAAACAAACCCTGATCCCTGTGATTCTCTCCAGACTGAAATGTGGCAATTCCTTGAGGTTGTGTTTCAAACAGGAGAGCCTAGAAGCTGCAGACTCTTCACTATTCGATAACTTGGGAAAGCTGGCCTGGTTTTCAATCCTTTCAGCCCTTGATCCCGGATCAGGGAGCTGAGGTCACAGGGTGCTTGACCACTCTGGTCTCCGAGACCAGCTTCACCACGTAGGGTTTTATATTAATATTAATATTAATGATTTTTCGAGTTATCTCCTGGTGGCAGCTGTGGGTCGCCAATGCCATGAGATTCTGTTTTTAAGCCATTGGAATCTAATAACCAGGGTTATCTTTAATTCTGTGTTTATACGCACGTTGAATTGAGACAGTCCAAAAGGTCTGTCTGATCCGTTCCCGTCTCCCTCCCTGGATTAGATTTTGATGTTTTGTGCATCGGTGGCACCTGATCAGCTCTTTAATCACGTTTTAAAACATTTCCTTATAAGGTCTCGGGCTTTATTGTCTTCCAAATAGAATGAAGCCCAGTGCGATTCACACCTAATGTGTTTATAAATGCTCCGAGATGCTACCTCACGTGAAGGTCGCTATATATATATGCAAGTTGTTGTTGTTGTACTGCAGTGGCTCCTGGCAGCACTGAGTGCTCAGGTGGTGACCAGTGGGGGGGGCTCCAGTGCCATTTCCACAGCATCCATCCACAGTGTGTTCTGTGAAGCGCTTTGGGACGTCCTCTCGACGTGAAAAGCGCTATATCAAATGCAAGGATTATTATTATTATTTATAGTGCTTAAAGTCACGTAATTTGCTGCCGAACACAGTAAAGATGATGATAAGTTTGTAGTTATAACCTGCACTATACCGAACGACATTGTGCATTAATTACAAGTTTGCATAGATTGCCCCTGGATCTCCAGCCTTGTTACAAACATACACGGTGTATAAAACACTGCAATTTGCTGCTTATTTAAAACACTTTTTGCCCGCACAGATCGTCAGCAAAACCGTCTGTGTCTTCCTTCTCGCCACATACACTGACGGGAAACCGACGGAGAGCGCCGCCTGGTTCTGTAAATGGCTGGAAGAGGCGACCAATGACTTCAGATACGGCAAAAACTACCTCAAGGGCCTGAGATATGCTGTGTTTGGTTTGGGCAACTCAGCGTATGTTGGACATTACAACACTGTGAGTACTTTAATCACTCAATCCACCACTGTTTATGGGACTAATGTGTGCAATTGGCTGCCGTGTTTTGCCCACCAAATGCACAGTCACTCAATTTTACAATATATTCTGTGAAGTGCTTTGAGACCTCTCAACAACGTGATAAGGCGCTATATCAAATGCAAGGATTATTATTAGTAGTAGTAGTAGAGATATAGTACTTTGCTCAATCTGCAGATCCCTGTCTATTGAACGGATTGCCTATCACAAAGGAAGTTTCTCCCCTCCACCCACTCACTCACGTTGAGTTAAAGAAAAATTACGCCCTGATTTTCAGTGTTCACAGAGGGCGTTTGTTACACTAATTACCATTTGCTAATCGTGGGGGAATCTCCCGGCAGCAAATCCTGTGATGACAAAGTCAGAGAAATACCCGGAGAGTAAAACAGAACTACAGTTAGACTGAACCTGGTTTTATTATTATACTGTGGGACCAGCCAGGTGAGTGACAAGCCTGGTCCCTCCCGGCTCCCAGCCCCTCAGTAAAGTGTTAATAAAATGATTATTAATCATTTTGGTTTATTACTAATGTTCTAATCCAGCTGGCGTTTTGAACATGACAGCGTGAAGCGGTGACCGTTGTTTTAACCATTGCCGTCTGGCCCTGCAGGTTGGTAAACACGTGGACAAGTGGCTGTGGATGCTGAGCGCGGGGCGGGTGCTGACCCGCGGGGAGGGAGATGGCAACGTGGTGAAGAGTAAGCGGGGCAGCCTGGAGGCCGACTTCAGCGCCTGGCAAGTCAAGCTGTTGAGCAGGCTGGAGGCTCTGGGTCAAGGGGACAGGAAAGAGTGCAGCGGCAACTGCAAGAATGGGAAGTGCAAATCTAAAGGAAAAAAACATAAGGACGAATCCAGGCAGAAGGAGGCAGTGCCAAATGAGAGACTGGAGCATAGCGAAGAGGTAAATGTGTGAGATACACAAGATCCTGACCTGCACATTCCAGCACAGAAGCCCATTCAGGCTACTGTATCGGTGTGTTGCGCACTCCCCCACTGCAAAAAGGAATTGGTCACTTAATCCACGACTTTGTGGGATTGCATTTGGCTGCCACATTTCGCCCACAAAATATAAAGTCAACCCATTTAACAGTATGTTCTGTGAAGCGCTTTGAGACTGCCCAATGATGTGGTAAGGTGATATATCAAATGCAAGAATTATTATTATAATTCCCATTTAGGTGATCTTATGGTCTCAAAGCCTCAACAGCTACTCGTGTTAAAGCGGGAAAAGGTTTCTTTTGACTTCTCCCTGAGCTGATCCAGAGACATTGCTGAGCTGCTCCCTCTTGTTTTGCCAACAAAAATATACAGTGAATTCACTTTACAGTATATTCTATGAAGCGCTTTGAGACATCTTGAGATGCGATAAGGCGCTATATCAAATGCAAGGATTATTATTGTATTATTGTTACTGGCTCACCATCCATCAGGAATTAACTGTTCACTGTCTGCTCCTGTGGAAATGAGACAATGAAGGAATTTGTACTGTTCTCGTTCTTCAGACGGAGACTGGCTGAGACCGTGTACCCTTCTGAGCCATGTTCTGCTTTCATCCATTCTGCTCTCCCCACCAGGAGGAGCTATTTGAGACCAGCAGTGAGGAGGGGTCGGGGTCAGACAGCGAAACTGGTGCTCGCTCAGTGGTGGACGTGGAAGATTTGGGCAAAGTCATGAACAGTATGAAGCGAGCAAAGGTAACGGGTTGTTATTATAGAGATGAGTATCACTGAGATCCACAGGCTCTGACCATCCCTCAATCACTCACAGCACAACGCTGGTTGTGTGAACTCTACTGCCTTTCATCCAGAGTGTGCGTCTGTCACTCGCCTGCAGAGAGTCTTCAGGGCTCTCTCAGTGTCTACATTGAAATAATAAGAAATAATTAATTATTAATACTAATAGCATACTAAAACTAATTTGATACAGTGCCTATAATAATAATAATAATAATAATAATAATAATAATAATCCTTGCATTTGATATAGCGCTTTTCACGTCAGGAGGACGTCCCAAAGCGCTTCACAGAATACACTGTAAAGTGAATTGACTGTATATTTGTGGGCGAACGCGGCAGCCAATTGCGCACAGCAATGTCCCACAAACAGTCGTAGATTGAAAATGACCAATTTAATTATTGTTTTTGGTTTTGGAGGGATTATTATTAGGCTCTGTGTGGAGTAAGGAAACTTGCCCAAGGTTTCGCCCTGCCTGGAATTGAACTCAGGTCTCTCACTTGCAAAGCGAGTGCTCTAACCACTGAGCTACAGGACTCCACAATAATGAATGTCTCAAAGCATGTCACAGGATGTACTGTGAAGTGTAGAGACCGTGCATTTTTAGGCAGATGCAGCAGACAATTTGAACCCAAAAGCCATGAAGTAAATGATCGGTTTTATCTGAGGTATTGTTGGCCAGGACACAAAACTTCTCGAATAGTTTTGTGGGATCTTTTATGTCCACCTGAACAGGCACAGACAAGACCTCCATTTTGACGTCTTACCCAAAGGACATCACCTCTAACAATGCTGCTCTCCCCAACACTGCGTTGGAGCATCAGTCTCCAGTGTTAGCCAAGACAATCAGCTCCAAATCTTGACGTGGGACTTGAACCCACAACCTGTGACTCAAAAGCGAGAGCGCTACCGTGTAAGCCAGACTGACATGTTGAGGATATATTGAGTGAGCGCAGTAATTAAATAGTTTACGGTCACTAGAGGGCAGTGCAGAGAATAGTGAGCAGCCTGGCACAGGCTGGTTATTAATAGCTGCTTTAAACCCTTTTGTCATGTTATTTTACAGCATTAAATTAATCTGACAAATGCGACCTCTCTGGCCTTATTTAGAGGTGAAAGTCACCTATCATTAATCATGGACAAGACATCTTGTTAGTGAGTAGTAGCCCGGCTGCAAAACTGCAATAAACACAAACTCTCAGTGACAACTTCCAAGCACTCTGAAATGTCCCCTGGCACATTTCGTCATCTTACTGACCTTCACATTCACAGGCTCACACCATGAATAATCCTCCAGTTATTGCCGAGTGTGTAATTACTCACACCGTAGCCCTGTGCTGGAGATAGTAAAAATAATTGTATAATATTAGAATTATTAGGAATCATAGACATTTACAGTGCACGAGGAGGCCATTCGGCCCAAGTCTGCACCAGCATTATTGTATTATTGGTAATATTGTACGTTTGCCTACCAAAACATACACTAAACTTTTCTGTGAAGAGCTTTCAGACTTCCCCCTGAAGTGAAATGCAAGGATTATTATTTTGTCTCAAGGCCACATTCCCACTCCCATTTTCCCTTACTCTCCACCCTTTTGACATGACAGGTGCTACGTAAAGGCAATTCTTTGTGGTTGTAGTGGTACTAAATAAAGGCAGCATAATTTCTCAGGAAAGCCTTTCCCTCTGATGCTCTCTGTTCAGTATTCAGTCTTGGTGTGTGTGTGTGTGGTGGGTGGGTGTATGGGGAGGTAGACACTGGCAGTGTGGGTGACAAACACAAGCTGCAGACTCTAGGTTGAGTAGGTAGTGTCTCTTGCTTGTCTCTCGCTGCTGTTCTGTCCTCTCCTCCAGTGTGTGTACTTACTGAACTGTTTCATTGCTTGCACCATGGAGCATCTGTTTAAATCACAGGCTACACAGGGTATTGTATTGCAATACAGCTGAGCTGCAGAAACAATTTGCAAACAGGATGCCGTTGGGTAGCAGACAGTGAAGCTAATTGTACAGGTGGATTAAATAGATAAATGATCCATTTCCCATCCTTCACTTGGGACTTGCACAGCATTAATGTGGTTAGAGACGGATGTGTTCACCTCTGCAGCCTTTCCATTCTCTCTTTCACTGGGCCAGATTACTCCCAATTATTCCCTGTAAATACTGCCTGAGCTCTGTTGTGCTGCAATCTATTCTTCTGACGTACAGATTGAGGCTCGGAGTCTGACTTGGCTCACGTATGTCAGGGGTCACTGATTAGCAGAGCTCAGAAAGTTTTATTCTTAATTCACGATAAAAAAAAATCTCACTAAAGAAAAGCTTCAGCTTGCCTGCGGTGGGGGAATGGACATTGGCTGGATCGCTTTATTCTGTACAGTATGGACAGTCAGGACATGTGTGAATGTAGCTTTTCTGGCCACGGACTCACACTCACTGTCAGAGCTCATTCACTGTGGAGCCTTCCTCGGGGAAGGAAAGTCACACAATTGATTTGGCCTTTGGGGGGTGGGTACAGGTCACCTGTGTCTCCAGCCTCACACTGAATTGGACTTTGTGAGTCAGTCACATCACACTTGTAAATTGCTCCTGTGGTTTCCTCCTAGAGAGCGCTGGAGATGGGAGCTGAGGCTGTGAAGCCCAAGTTATCCAAACACGTGAATGGAAAGAGTGGGAGTGTGGAAGCGAGAGAGATGCTGACTCCGGCTCTCAGGGCTGCTCTCATCAAGCAAGGTACAGTCCATGGGCCCAGCGAGTAACAACAACAACTTGCATTTATACAGCGCGCTCACACGATAGAGTCTCAGTGTGCTTAACAGTGGCGGAGCACAACGCTAAGTCAGGTGAGGGGAGGGTGACCGTAAACACAGTCAAAGAGGAAGGTCTTTAGACACGACCTGAAGATTGGGAAGGAGCATGGCGGAGGGATTGAAGGAGAGTGTTCCAGAGTTTTGGGATGTAGTGGCTGTGTATAGGCCATGACCAGAGCTTGATCTAATGTTCTTCCTATTCAAAGTGCGGCTTGTGAGTTAAAAGAAAGCGGGGTGTGTAGGCGGTTTGTCTGCTGTGAGGAATCATCCCTGGAGCCATCTTTGAAAAGAATTCTGTAGGTTTATTTCCTCTTTAAGCACAAGGTTAATGTTTATGGATTCCTGATGGTTCCTGGGGATTTCCTGTTCACTTAAACTGAGGTGTAATTTATGGAATTTCTCAAAGCCTGGCTTTAAACGTCCACAAGTCAGTAATCTCCCTGTGACAGGAGCTCAGACTGAGCTCGGGGTCAGTGTAAAACCACATTGGCTGGGCTAGAACACAGCGTTAACTTCCCCAAATAATGTTCACTGTGCTTCAACCCAGTGCGTTTGTGTACTTGTGTCTACAAAAACTACACAGGCTTTGCTGTAAATCCTGTGGAGCACTTTGAGACATCCATCTAACATGAAAGGCATGCAAGGATTATTATTGATCCTTATTATTGATCCTTACTGAGTGGGTTTGAATGCCTGCTTTGCTGGTGAGCTTCACAAGGGCTGGTGGCTGAAACCCACCCCAGTCACTGTGGGTTATAGGTTCCGATTCAAGAGAAGGAGGGGATATTTTTTGAACAGGGAAACTATGATATCAAATTGACAGGTTTAAATCTTTGTAATGTATTTTATATTTACTCGAGTGTCTTTGAGCCCCCCACGCCTGCAGTGGGATATTTACTTTCTGTGACCTGAAGTTGATTTGTTTTCTGCAGCGTTTATGACTTTAGGTCAGGAACGATCTCAGGCCTCCCTCTCCCTGCTCGTCCCTGCGGGGTGACCACAGCAGCTTGTGCTGAGCTTTGTGCCTGTGAGAGATCTCCCGTAAGAAAGCGTTGAGCCAGTTGTTGTAGACAGCGTAAGGAGTGTTTATCGAGTATTTAAGCATTAGCTGAATCAGTTTAATGATGTTATTTACTTCAAGTCATGATGTACCAGTTAAACTTTATGAAACTCGTTAATATTCTGTAACCGTCTTACTGCAGTGAGAAGCTGGTGGCATCATTGCGTTGTGAAGCCACCTCCTACTGGCACAGCTATTTGCTGCTGAGATGCCAAAGCTTTCCTTCTGCTCCATTGGCATTGAGTGTTGTAGAGAGTGTGGTGTGAGATGGGAGCGTGCCTTTGATCTGTGCCCTCTATCTTTGCAGAACAGAACATGCAAATGTGGCGATTGAAATGCTCTGTTGTTGCTCCCAGGGTGTCTGTGCAGCTAGATTGTAAAAGTCTGTGAGCTGCGGGAGTTTAACCCCCGCAGCACCAATGCTGAACCTTCCCTGAGCTATGTTTGAGCAGGAGAGTCCATGTCTGTTCACTGTATGTAAGTTGTAGTTATACCACCTTGTGTAAGTGGCTGCAATGAATACACATCGTACAACATCCTGTGAATAGAAACCACCTGAATGTGAATGAATTTCTTTCCTCTGTGAGTTGTGCTTTTGCTCATTGCTGGCTGGTCTCTCAGACGGCTGTATTTCAACAATGAGTCAGAGATTATGAGTGCGCTCAGCCTGTGGGCATGCCAGGCGGGTGGGCGTATTGTGTGCCTACACACATTTGGACACTTACACTTAGACGTAAAGTGTCTCTGCTCAAATCATTACAGAGATCTACGGTTCCGCTGAGATATGTATTATCTTTTTCAGAAGATTAATTTTATTCGGCTGCCTGTGATCAAAAGCTCAGCTTGTTCAGTTTTAGCATGCTTCAATTTTCTGAAGGCTGATTTCCCCTCTACCTAGATTAATGAGTGAGGATCGGAGAGGGTCAGAATGACTGAGCATTGTTACACTATCTCTGCCTCATCCCATTGATTGATGATCATAGTTTTGCATATTCACAGGAGTTACTGCGATCCGCAGACAGAAATGGGGAATTATTTTTTAAAAATGTGTCTATAACTAGAATTCTGCATTTATTTATACAGAATTGTTCCATGTCCCTATGTTTACTGTCTTGAGTAAATGGCTTCAGTAAGTATACAGGAAATAATGAGCTTAAATTTATTACCCGATTCACCTACCGGACAGGATGATAAATAAAGGACTCTTTGTCGATTCACGTGCCGCCAGCAGACCGAGGCAGGTTGGAAAACTCGCAGGAGGAAAAGTACATTCTTTTTAGCAAAAGTTACGATTGAAGGAAGCAGTAATATTAGAGTATTAAATATTTCATGCATCGCCAGCAAGCAGCTATCTCACAGCAGAGCTTTATATGATGCTGTAGTCTTGTTGCCTTTCATCTGCCACCTGAATAGATTGCTGGCTTTGTCACACAAGCTGCAGCATGAAGCCACCGGGTTAATAAAGTAATGTACAAATTCAGGAGAATAAAGTGAAAATATTGTCCAGATTTTAAAAGCAGCGTTATAGCAGCCTGAGTACCTTGATACTCCAGGATCGAGCCTGCAGTGTCTCTCCCAAGAATTCATGCTATTCTGGTCTGAGTATCAGCTATTGGGAAATGTATTGTGGAGGAAAGCTTGGAAAACCACGACAATGTTGTTGTAAAATACGATCCCAAGTTGGGAATTCCACAGGATTTAGGCTCCAATACAACTAATGTGTATGAACAGACCAATTACTTTGGGGATTTGAGGGGTCGGGGAAGGAGAGATGCAAAGAAACTAGACTGTCTGTGCAGAATTATTCTGTTGCTGTTTGCTTTTGGGTTTCCTCTGATGAAAGAGATAACTATTCAATTCTTAAAATTCACATTTATATTGTTTTCAGGATGGTTTGAAATGTGAGCATAAGAGGGTCTGAACAAAATAAATGTTGGAATTTTAATAATTTCTGCCTTGAGGACTCAAAGCTGATTGTTTGTAGGGAGCAGTATATAGAGTCATAAGGATTATATTCTGCCCTATACCTCACCTCCAAACAAGCAGCAGGGAACAAACTGATTTCTCTCTTTCTCTCTTGCCACCACTCCCATCAGTTATAGATTGTCCTAAATGAGGTCTTACTCACAATGAAGTCCACAATCACCGCACTTTATAGATGACTCAACATGGCTTTTAGAAGCTAGGTCAATTAACAGCAGAATAGCAAGTGAGATCTGTACTATCATGATTGAAGTGCAGAGGGGAAACTCATCCTCTTGTCATTAAAAACAGAAATCGCTGGGAATGCTCACCAGGTCAGGCAGCATCTATGGAGAGAGGAAAGTGAGTTAAAGTTTCAGGTTGTTTACCTTTTGTCAGAACTTACGTCAGTCAACAGCAACAAATTACACTTTGTAAAGAGCCCTTCACGTCAGAAAGACATCCCAGTGCGCTGGACAATCGGGTTTTGTACCCGAGCTGGGAGTTGGGGTCAGGAGGGGTGGAGGACAGGAGGGTACAGGTGGGAAACTGGCCAAAAGTGCATTTGAAGAAGAAGGTCTTTAGAGGGGACTTGAAGGAGGCAAGAGTGCTCCCAGCCACTTCTTTTTTTATTTCAGATTTCCAGCACCTGCAGTATTTTGCCTTTCATCCTCTCGTCATATCACTCACCAGCTTCTGGAGCTCTCAGGAGCTAGGATGGGTCGGAGAAAGTTCTAATCTGGAAACCAGTCAAGTCTTTCGGTGTTTAACCCTGTAACCTGGTGAAAGTCCTGAGGGGAGAGTCTAATTTGGGGGAGAGTTGTGACATGTCAGTTGACTGCTGAGAATGAATCACTGTGAACACTCGTTGAATAATCCTTGCATTTGATATAATAATAATCATTGCATTATATATAGCGCCTTATCACATCTTTGAGACATCTCAAAACGCTTCACAGAAAATACCATAAAGTGGAGTGACTGTATTTTGTTGGGGAAATGCGGCAACCAATTGCACACAGTGTCCCTCAACTGTCCCTCAAACAGTCGTGGATTGAGTGACTAAATTATTATTATTTGTTTTAGAGGGATTATTACCCCAGGAAAGCTATCAAGTCTTGATATACAAGTATATAAGTCTTGTGTTGCTGGTGACTGATAGAGTAAATCATTGTTCCCAGTTAATAGGTCGAGTTCTGCACGGGTTTACTTGATTAGGATTGACCGTGAGGATATCTAAAGCTGTCACCAGGAATAGCAGAGTCTTGTTTATCAAGTGGAGCTGTCTCTCTCTGCTTCTCCAGAGATCTGGAGCTTGGCAGCACAGTATTGGTGGGGAATTGAAGCTAGACAGTTCTGCAAGCCGTGGCTTCTTGATGAACATCTGAAAGCACAGGACAAGTCTGCAGGTAGGGGAGAGAGAGAGAGAACTTTTGATAGTGTCTTATCACATCAAAACATCTCATAGTAATTTCTGTCAAGTATAGTGAAGTCTTCCCTGGGCGAACACAGTGGTTATGTTTGCTCCAGAAAGTTCCAAACTGTGAAGTGTTAAAGAAAGACTTAAAGATTTGGCACACAGGGATGAGGAAATGCCTTCATAACCAAGTCTCAATGATGAACCAGTTCAAAACCAGACATAGAGGGTTGTGGCCTTGAGTTGATGGGATATAGATTTTACTTGTCTGGTTGTCTTGATCTGTTTGGCCTATGTAATTTTGGGGTATAAAGATCAATTAATGTGATCTGGGTGAATTATATGATACTGGGTTGTGGGGGTGAGTTTATATGATGTTGGGCTATGGGGGGGAACTGAAGAATAAATCGATTTTTGGTTCAAATGCCGGCGGGCTGGAGGCTGGAATCGTGAGGAGGTTGCCAAACGTGATTGCAAAAATGGGGAAAAACCTTGTTTTTCGTAATCCTGGTGATTGGGCTCAATCGGGAGTCCCATTGGAGTTAAGCAGGGAGGGCAGGAGTTCTTGGACTCGAGGCCTCCTGCGGTGGGCGTCCTGGAATGGGGACCAAGATGACTTCACACGAGTGACGCCTGGAGCGAGGCCTAAACCGATGCCTGGAGTGGGGGCCCCTGGCTTACATGTGTGCAAGGCCAGCACTGGCGTGGAGTCTGATGCACCAAACATTGTCCAGATCCAATGTGGGTCCCGAGGCCCACCTCCCTGAGCCTGAGCTGCGCGGAGACAACATGGGATTCGCTGCCTCAACCATCGCTGACTCTCCTGGTCAACATCCAACCAGAGACCGGCTGCCGCACGACGTCATATCCGCCCGCCAGCTTTGAGTCTCTCAGCCTGGACTCAATGGGACTTTAACATTGTCCCCTCACACATGATGACCCATGCCAGCGGGCTAACCATGCCTCGCTGACCTGCCCCCGCCACCAACTGTCCCCTCCGTATCAGCCTCGAATATGTCTGCTCCCTCTCCAACAAAACAGTCACCATCCAAGACCTCATTGTCAACGAAAACTCCTTGCTTGTCGGCCTCTCCAACTCCTCCCTCCATAGTCTGCAAATCATCCAGAACTCTGCAGCCTGCTTCCTCTCCCGCACCAGGCTCCGTGACTCTATCACCCCCATCCTCATCTGCCTCCACTGGCTTCCCATCACACAGAGGATACAGTTCAAGATCCTGGTCCTCACCTTCAAAGCCCTCCCTGGTCTTGCTTCCCCCTATCTAGGCGACATCCTAACCTCCTACCATCTGCTCACTCCCTCAGCTAGGCGGGCTCCGGCCTGCTTCATGTCCCCTGCCACTTTGCCCCCACCTCTGGAACTCCATCGTGCAGTCCCTCCGCCTCGCCCCCTCCCTTACCTCCTTCAAGACCCGTCTCAAGACCCTGCTCTTTGATCGTGCTTTCGATCACGCTGTTTCCCCCCTGCCCTACACCCTCCCCGATTCCGCCCCCCTGCTCGAAGCTCAGACTGTCAGACGCCTTGGGAGGACCTCCCGACGTGAAATGCGCAATACCAGTGTAATTTTGTGGTCGTCGTCGTTATGGAAGCTTTTCAGTGATCCGCTCCACTAAGTGGTTCTTTCTAAGATGGACAGTGCGCTTTGGATAGATGTAAGCTGCTGTAAAAATCATAAGTGGTGTATTTGCTGAGATGTCGAATGCTGTATGTAAATGCAATTGACTGTTATTGTTGCTGCTGTTGTTGCTGCTGTTGTACTCAAACACTAACCTCAGCACACACTGTGCCTGGAGACGTTGTGGAGTGGTTTCTTTGATCAGATTCAATCATGGGAAAGGACTGAGTGCGTGTGTCTGGATGAGCTGAGATGTGACAATGTACATACTGACAGCAATGTGGCATACAGTGACAATTAGGCTTGTACTTACAGGGATGGTTAGTGATCACAAAGGCGGTTTGCTTCTTTCCTTCAAGCTTTATGGGCTCCTTCCTGAGATTGCTGTATTTCTGAAACAATACTGTCGGAACAAAAGTGTAAAGAATTAATTCATTTTTATCTTTTTCCATTTCCCTTGAAACCAACACTGTGTGAAAGATGTCATTACATGGGTTTAGCCTGCGCAGAGCTGCCAGAATCCAATTGTCAGAGTAATCACTGGTGCTGAGGTATACGTAATGAACATTGACAATAATAGGGGAAATACGTAAGGATCAAAAAGTCCATCACAGTGATTGAGTCTGATGGGATTTGAAATCAATCTCACATTCTCCCCACCCCCATCTCACATTCCCCCCACCCCCATCTCACATTCCCCCACCAATCTAATGTCCCTCCACAAAACCCTTCACCATTCAACAATTTGTTGAAAATATGATTTTCATCATTCTGCCATGGTTTTCCATTTGCTTTAGTTTATTCAGCATAAAATGGTGACTGTAGCTGTTTAGCATCTAGGCGCTTGGAAACATTACCCGAGTGAGGGGTGCCATATAATAATAATACAATAATCCTTGCATTTGATATAGCGCTTTTCACATCTTCTCGACGTCTCAAAGCGCTTCACAGAATAGATTGTAAAGTGAATTGACTGTATATTTGTGGGCGAAACTCGGCAACCAAATGTGCACAGCAGCGTCCCAAAAACAGTCGTGGATTGAAGTGACCAATTTATTATTGTTTTTTTTCTTGAGGGATTATTATCAGCCGTATGGAGTAAGGAAACTTGCCCAAGGTTTTGCCCTGATGGGCGAGTGCTCTAACCACTGAGCTACAGAACTCCACAATAATAATAATAATAATCCTTGCATTTGATATAGCGCTTTTCACGTCGGGAGGACGTCCCAAAGCGCTTCACAGAATAGACTGTAAAGTGAATTAACTGTATATTTGTGGGCGAACGCGGCAGCCAATTGCGCACAGCAATGTCCCACAAACAGTCGTAGATTGAAAATGACCAATTTATTATTGTTTTTGGTTTTGGAGGGATTATTATTAGGCTCTGTGTGGAGTAAGGAAACTTGCCCAAGGTTTCACCCTCTGCCTGGAATTGAACTCAGGTCTCTCACTTGCAAAGCGAGTGCTCTAACCACTGAGCTACAGGACTCCAAGTTGTTGTTGTCTCATGCCAATCTTACTGCTGCTCAGAACCAGCTGGCACCAAATCTTGGACTTTTATTGGGGCCCCATCATGTTAATCCGATTTGATGGATTCTATCCATTTGCAGGCCTGAAGTTGGTGGGCTGTGGCACCAGTAATACAATTGGACAGTTGCTCTCATGTTTAATTCAGTAGACTTATGGTAAAGGCACTGAGCCGTGTTGTATGCTTGTGTGGCTGCTGTTGGGTGAGTATTGAGCACACTGCTGTACTGATATCACCGTGCTGCTGTGTGGTTGTCACAGGTACATGTGCTGCAGTGCAGGCCCGCAGTTAACCCTTCACTTACTTTTCCACCCCTCGCACAATGCAACTGAAATGTTTGCAAAAGTGTTTGGGTTTGTGGTTCCCAACAGGTTTCCCACTTTACCAAGGGGTGAATCTGACCTGAGGATCCTTTACAGAGAGTCCTTTCAGTCTGAGATGCATTGATGCTGCCTGACATCTGCCTGAGGGAAAACATCCCAGCTTTCAAAGGTTTTTGACATTTTCTAGATGATGGAAAATATTCTCCCACAAAATATAGTCGAATTCACTTTACAGTGTATTTTGTGAAGTGCTTTGAGATGTCTTGAAGACACGATAAGGCACTATATCAAATGCAAGGATTATTATGGTGATGATTGAACCTGCTGTGTGTCTTTAGTGAATTAAAGTGACCTGTGGCCTGGCTGACTCAGTGCTTCGGTGTACAGTCAGAAATGCCGGTTGTTGCTGATTAGGAAGTGAGAGAACATGGACACTGCCCCAGCTGCCTTGTGGCTGTTTTTTGCCCTGATTGATGATCGCTGTTGGTTTCCCAGGCTTATTTTATGGCCGTCTGTGTAGAGAAACCTCAAATTAAGACTAAGCTCTTTTGTATTGTTCTGTTTGTACCACTTGATCAGGCGTTTTTTGAGATCTTTGCAGAAACATTGCCATTACGAGGGTGTTTGCGGGTGGTGAATGATGGTCTACAATTGTATAAGGAAATATATTATATCACAACTGAAGAGTGCTGTACTTCAGGCCAAATAATCACTGCTGGTGAGGGAATGTTGTGTTTCTCTCGGTTGTGTAGTACTCACGTGGCTGGTCAGCTTGTGACAATTTAAGAGGGAATTGATTAAGTATTTGAAGAGGAAACATATACAAGGCTCCAGGGAATTGGGAATGGAGTGGTTAACTCCTGGGATGGCAGCACAGCCTGAATGATTGTAATTTCTATGAGCCAATGACTGCAGTAATAATCCTGATCTTTGCGGTTGATGCAGTAAATAACGGCTGTTGTTCAACTTAATCTACAAAGTGTTGCAATTCACCAGAAACACGTTTTATTTACTTATTCAAAGCCCAAGTTTATGTAGCTGCAAAAACGTGGTCGTTTAGATTACAGAAAGCAACTGAGCGCACAGTGCGCTCGCTCACTCACTCGCTAGCCTGTTTCTGCTCTCATCATTTACTGCCTTCCACACAGAAAAGGCAAGCCGAAATAAGGGTGAATTAGGGAGTGATGTTTTCTGGTGTGTGGATCTGTATGGAGTCTTATAGCTCAGTGGTTAGGGCTATTAACTCGTAAGCGAGAAGATCTGGGTTTGATTCCCGGGCAGGGCGAAACGTTAGGCAAGTTTCCTTACTCCAAATGCCTCTGTTTACCTAGTAGTAAGTAGGAACCCAGTTGTTGGTCGATTGTCGGATCACTTTTTCAGGGGTAATAATTCCTTTTTTAAAAAAAATTTGGTCTCTCAATTCATGACGGTTTGTAGGACGCTGCTGTGCGCAATGGCTGCCGAGTTTCGCCCACAGAATATACAACCAATTCACTTACAGTATATTCTCTGAAGCGCTTTGAAACATCGTGAAAAGGCGCTATTTCAAATGCAAGGATTATTATTATTATCTGATGCAACCGATGTGACCTGATGTGCAATATATGATGTGACATTACTCTATGTGAAAGGCACTGCATAAATGCAAGTTGTTGTTGATGTTTAACTAATATCAATGCTGTGGCTGGGGGAAGAGGAAGGAATTCTGTAAAGAGAGACCAGTTTCCTCCTCGCACCATTGGGCAGAAAGCTTTAGTACAAGTGAAAATGTGCTAATGATTGAAAGCCTTGTGCTGTTTTGATGCTGAGATTGGCTGTTCAGGAATAATGGAGTGAACCCTTTCATTTTTCAGGTTACCGGCTGATTGGAAGTCACTCGGGTGTGAAGCTCTGCAGATGGACTAAGGTAACCGGCCCTGCTGTGCCCAGATTCAATCGCACAATTCTGATCCCTGTGTTTTTCTCTCTAAAACAATGCCATGGTAGGGAAGCAGGAATAACTGACTCTTTATTACAAGATCCCGTTTTATGAAGAGCGATGTCTTTCACTCAGGCTGATCCCATCTGCTGCCTCCAGCCTTTCTCTGGCCAAAAGTAAACTTGGTTCGTGTTGCTGGCTGGAGCTTCAAGAATAGTGGAGAATCCCAGGGCCATCACCCAACAACAACAACAAGAAAATTACATTTGTAAAGCGCCTTTCACATCGGGAGGACCTCCCAAGGTGCTGGACAGACAATGTTTCGGAGCTGAGCTGGGGGTCGGAGTCGGGGAGGGTGGAGGGCAGGGGAGGAAACAGGGAGATTGAAAGCACGGTCAAAGAGGAGGGTCTTGAGATGGGTCTTGAAGGAGGCGAGGGAGGAGGCGAGGCTGAGGAACTGTGGGATGGAGTTCCAGAGGGTGAGGGCAAAGTGGCTAAAGACCCCTCTGCCAATAGTGGGGCAAGCGAGGCGGGGATGTGAAGCAGGTTGGAGTCTGCTGATTGGAGGGAGCGAGCAGGATGGTAGGGGTAGCAAGACCATGGAGGGCTTTGATGGTGAGGACCAGGCTGTTGAACTGTATCCTCTGTATGATGGGAAGCCAGTGGAGTCGTGTGAGGATGGGGCTGATAGGGTCATGGAGCCTAGTGCGGGAGAGCATGTGGGCTGCAGAGTTTTGGATAATCTGCAACCTATGGAGGAAGGAATTGGGGAGGCCGACAAGCAATGAGTTTGCACAGCCAAGCCTCAATGTAATGAAAGCATGTATGAGGGTTTCAGCGGCCTACGTGATACAGCGGCAGAGCCGGGTGATGTTGCGGAGGTAGGGGTAAAGGATAGTTGAGGGTCAAACAAGATGCCAAGGTTCCGGACTGGCTTAGTAAGGTGGAGTGTCAACAATGGATGGTGATGAGGTGAGGAGGCACTGACGGAAGCCAATCAGGAGAGACTCGGTCTTGTTGACATTCAACTGAAGAAAGTTAGCTCTCATCCAGGACTTGATGTCCGACAGACGGTCAGGACAGCAGTGGTCCTAGAGTCAAGGGTGGAGGCAGAGAGGTATAGTTGAGTGCGAATTATGTCACCCAAGAGGGAGCACATAGATATTGAAGAAGAGGGGACCAAGGACAGAGCCCTGAGGATCGCCGCACAAGACGGTGCGGGGGCTGGAGGAGAAGTGTTTGTGGAGATGAAGTGTAGGCGGTGTGAGAGGTGCAAGCAGTGTGAGAGGTACGATCTGAACCAGTCAAGGATAGAGCCGTGAAGGTTGAGGTGAGAGGAGAGGCAGTGGATGAGGATAGAGTGGTCGACGGTGTCGAAGGCAGCAGAGAGGTCAAGGAGGACGAGGAGTCGTGGTCACAGATGGACAGAATGTCATTTGTCACTTTGACCAGTCCTTGTTATGAGCGTCGTACAGCCATTATCAGAAAAATCACAATATTGAGAATGCGTGCTTTTACCAACGGTCAACCATTACATAAAAAGGTTTTAGTGATTCATCAAGTGCAATGTGAAAATTGTAATCATGCGGCTTGATTGCATGTAGGGAAGCCCCCTGCACTATAAACTAGCTTCACACCTAAAGTACGGGAGTTTTTACCTGGATTTGTAAACATCGGAATGGTTAGGGTTGATTGCTCCAGGAGCTAACTCCAGCACAGGAACCATGAGCTAAATATCCTCCTCCTTTGAATCAATCGGCCCTTATACATGAAAGGCACTAATCAAATGTAATTTTGTTGTTGTTGTACCTGCATGTTACCACATTGCTGTGTGCTGCACCTAACGGTGTGAACGGTACCCAGTGGTGTCAACGGCACCTAATGGCATATGTATTGATGAGTAATATTTGCTGTTTGCTTTACCTGGGGCAGTCGATGCTGCGAGGACGAGGCGGCTGCTACAAACACACGTTCTACGGGATTGAAAGCCACCGCTGCATGGAGACAACCCCCAGCCTCGCTTGTGCCAACAAATGTGTCTTTTGCTGGAGGTGAGAGCTGCCGAACGAGAGCAGAATTAAGCTAATTGATTGCTCCGGCTGGAGTGCTAATGGAGATTATGGATGAAGCCCAAGCTGTAAATCAGCCCGACTGCCCAATTAAAACTTCTCACAGCTAGAGTTTGGGACCAGAAGCATTTCATTGTTGAGCCTGTTTACCCAGCAGAGTGATGACACTGCAGTATTGTATAACCCTTGTGCTGTAAGAATACAGTGTTTGTATTCACTTTGCGACTAAGTTCATGTGTATGATGGGATGACCTCTGAAGGACAGATTGGAATGTAATGAGCAGGATCTGAAAGCTAAGCGTTGTTTGGTGGAAGTGCCGTGCTGACATTGTGTAAACGCTTCACCTTCAAACTAGTGACGTACAGCTGAATGCGCAGCTTTCTTTGGGATGTGACTCTCCTGACTGTCAGCTGCAGAGCCCTGAAAGGTGGCCATACCAGCGGGTTGGAAAGGGAGGAATGAACTGTGTGTTACAAAGTCATGTAGCTTGTTCAGGTTGAGGTTGACTTTGTATCTTCGCTGTTACAATAAACCGAGTACTTGATTCATCTTGGATTAGAGCAGAATAGTCCAACTGACGGCTCGCGGGCCGCATCTGGCTCCCCTCCCCCACCCCATCTAGCCCACCCGCTTCCTCCATGACCCGTAAATGTTATGTTTCTGGAAGCCAAACACAAAAATATTGCTTATGTGGCCTGCAGACGTTTCTCAAATAAGGCATCTGGCCCTCAGCAGCCAAAAGGTTGGACCATCCTGGCTTAAGAGTCATGGCTTCATTATATTACGAGAGAGCTGAAATGTCACTGATCTTCACAACCTCTCTCCTGGAGACAGAAGCAGCATCTTGAAATTCATTGTTAATAATTGTAATGATTTGTTAGCAAACAGTTCCATTCAAACACTTTATGGTGTTAAGCCTCTTCCTATATTAATTGTTAAGCTTTTGTACATTTGTACATATTCTATCTGGATGGGACAAGCCCTGAGAGGTATCTCACAGTGTCAGTCACCAGACTTTCTAACTTACATCTAACCTGCATTTTTACACCACTTTGTTACGGGAGTGTCTCATTTAATGGCTAGGAAGTGTAGTGACCTTATTGTCGAGAAATGTGGCACTCAATTAGTACACAGAAGGTCCCACAGATAGCCATGAGATGATTATTATTTTATCTGGAGGATTGTTGGCCAAAACACTGGGAAAACTCTCCACTTTTGCAATCGTGTGATGGGATCTTGAATGTCCAAACAAACAGGCAGATGGGATCTCAGTTTAACATTTCATGTGAAGAACGTGAAATGTCTGACAAAGCTGCAGTGAAGTGTGAGCTTGAGTCGCGATGTGGGGCCAACCTTCCGAGCCTGGGGGCAGCTAATGGTATCTTCCTTCGATTATTGCTGGTGTGGCATTGGTTATAATACGTTAACAAGTGTAAATATGAAGAGGGGACGAGGGTATTGAAATTAAATTCAAGGATATAAATATTTTTTCAGGGGAGAGTGCACCTGTACAGACGGATATCAGATCAATGTACAGTACATGTGCTTCAGATACAGATGCCATATAAATATTACAACAAGCTTGCATCTAGTGCTTTACGTCTGTTGTGAAGCAGCCTAGGGAGATGTGTGCAGCACTCAGATTCCCATTATACTGCTGATGCTATATCTTTATGATAAATGTATGAGCGAGATTGTCAAAAAAGCTTCCTTTCATTTCTGTGGTTTTTAGCAGTCTGACCCGAACCTAATCTTTGAACTTTATCCTGCAACTTTAATAACTTCAACAAAAACTTTGAAAAGCAGCATTTTCGTGTACGTTTATAATGGACTCTGAATGGCTTGTGTAGTTTTGAGACCTGAAGGCTTTTTGAGTTGAGGGCTTTGATAGTTTTGCTCGCTGGCGCAGGCTGCTCAGTGCTGACTGTAAGCCATGACGTCGATAGGGACATGACTGGCTGGAGTGTTGCTATGTTTTTTAATACAGATTTAATAATAAAATAATAAATAATAATCCTGGCATTTGATAGAGCACTTTTCACGTCTTCTAGACATCTCAAAGCGCTTCACAGAATACACTGTAAAGTGAATTGACTGTATATTTGTGGGCGAAACGCAGCAACTAGTTGTGCACAGCAGCATCCCACAAACAGTCGTGGATTGAAAATGACCAATTTTTTTTAGTTTGGTTAGAACACGTAGTTCTCCTAGGGTGTGGACTATAGCTTTTAATCCGTTCTTTGACAAACTCCACTGTTTGAATTTAAAAATGCTCGTTCGGAAACAACTATCCCTCAGTAATTAAGAAACTGAAGTCTAGAGTCTAATTCTGTTTGCACTGCCCGAATAATTTGTTTCTAAGCTTTTTAATATTAATATTAGTTTCTTATTTTAAATGGCTCTGTCTGGATAGTGCGAATGTGATTCAGAATGAGGATTTCTGCCCACGCTGGAGGTTTACAATGTGATGTGAAATCTTGAGGAGCAATTAGCAGTGAGTGAAAACAATGGTGGGGGGGGATTGCCTTCACATCATTAGTCACAGCCAGTGTTGGGCTTGTGTGAGAGGCACAGGAAACAAGCACCTATAAGGGAGCCTGGCCTGTACAAGACTTATCAATCTCCTACTGCACTTTAAAGTACTTTAACCTTAAAATTAGAGCTAGGCCATTTAGGAGTGAAATTGGGAGGCAATTTTTCATGCAAAGGCTAGTGGAAATCTGGAACTCTCTCCCGAAAGGGCTATGGATTATGGCTGGATCCATTCACATTTTCAACACTGAGGTGGGTTAGGTCTGAGTGTCAAGGGATATGGGGCAAGGGTGGGTAATTGGAGTTGAGGTACAAATCATCCATGATATAATAGAATGGCAGAATAGGCTTGAGGGGCTGAATGGCCTCCTCCTGTTTCTATGTTCCTATAACCTCCTAGTGCTCATTAATTGAGGAGACCTGGGGAACACACAAGTACATGCTCCCCCTGTGTGTGTGTGTGTGTGTGTGTGCACTGTCTCTCAGAGTACCCTGCCTGGCACCAATACAATAGAATGTGGGTCATCCTGTGTGAAAGGTGCTCTGGGTGTTGTGATGCTGTTGTTGTTTTGCCTGTGTAAGAAAGCTGGACAGTTCATTATGATGCTGTGCAACACTTGAGGTAGCAGATCAGTTTGGCAATGATACTCATTTTACTGTAGTAATTGTAAACCTTACCCGTGAACGCAAACCATGGGCTGCAAATACAGTGGGCAGAACACACCTGCTTCATGCAGTCAGGCTGTGCTGCACTAGGATTGTGCAATTGTGCACCCTTTGAAGGTATGATACACAATACCTAGTCTCTGTATCAAAGCAAACTCTACATCATACCCAGCCTCTGTGTATCACAACACTCTCTCTCTCTACATTAGCGCAATGGATTATAACTGGCATCTATGATGCTTCTTATAAAATATTAAGTGCACAAATCATCTCAGTCATGCAAAAATCTACGCTCCACATCACATCGAGAGACTTCATTGATATTCTAAGGTTATATTTCGCTTTTCTAATGTTTTTGTAAAAAATCTGGAGAATGCAGATGCCTCGATGTGGGTTAGGATCAAAATCCAATCTGAATTCATCTAAATGTCAAACGATTTGCAGCAGCTTTTTGTGGTCTCTTGTCTAAACGCAGTATCCACGAGTGACTCCGTGTTCTAAATTTATACCCCCCTTTGTGGGAATATGCAGAATTAACAGCCGGCCCTGTAGTAAAATGGTCTGAATTCAGAGAGAAACATCTGACTTTTCCCTGTATAAATGAATCTCTTTCCCTAGTGCCGTCAGCAGCAGCAGCTGTTGGTCTCACTGCTCCACTCCGCTCTGAGGGAGGTTTATTTGTGCCGAAAATCTGACACATCGGCCTCAGGTACTGTCATATCACCCACTGGAGAAAGTGTGTGTTACTGCAGATTCTGTCTGCTCTGTGCAAACTGTCACTGACCCATTGAGGGTGGGGGGCACTCCCCTGGTGAGGAGCAGACATGTAACTCACTGAGACTGATATAGAGAGAGGAGGCAAGGTATAGAGTACGTAACTCAGTTTGGTTTGGAGACTCTTAAGCATGGTGATGGCCTTATGTGTCAAACACCCGGCTGTTCAAACAAAATGTAAGTCACTGGGCTTATGGAGAGTGGAGGCGAGGTATAGAGAATATGTAACTCACTGACACTGTTGCTGTTTGTTTTGTGCAGACACCACACGAACCCTGTTGGAACAGAATGGAGGTGGAAGATGGATGAAGCTGAGCAAATCTTAAAGGAAGCCATTGAGAACCACCAGAACATGATCAAGCAGTTCAAAGGTGATGACACTGGGCCAGGCCAATCCGGGTCTGTCCCCACAGCCGTGGAGGTTAAGTGGTGTTTACAGTAACCACAAGACACTATAATAACTAATGATGTTGAGACTGGATCAAGGGAATCATTCAAAAGGCAACTGGATAAATGCCTGAGCAGTAAAATATATAAGCCTGTATCAAATGCAAGAATGATTAAGTTTGATGCTGGCCAATGTTTCAAAATGAACCTAATCTTATCTTTTTTTCCTTTATTTTCTCTCATGTCAGAGACCAAATTCTTGATCGGGCTGCTCGCTTGAACATGCTCTGGGGGTGGGATGTGTTTGTTTTTAAATGTGGTCACTCAATCCACGACTGCTTGTGAGATACTGCTGGGCTCAATTGGCTGCCGCGTTTCTCCCACAAAAACACACTCAATCCTCTTTACAGTATATCCTGTGAAGTGCTTTGAGACGTCTCAATGACATGATCAAGCTCTGTATCGAATGCAAGGATTATTATTTTTATTAATCTCCCCTTGCTGCTGTCCCTCAGGTGTACCAGGTGTGAAGGCTGAGCGCTTTGAGGAGGGACTGGCTGTGAAACACTGTGCCCTGTCCCTGGTGGGGGAGCCCATCATGTACCCACAGATCAACCACTTCCTCAAGCTGCTACACCAGCAGCGAATCTCCAGCTTCCTGGTGACAAATGCCCAGTTTCCAGAGGAGATCAGGTGAGGATGGACATCGGGCTCGAGAAATATGCAGCACAGGAGGAGAGACGCCAGTCTCTGTTCTGTTCCCCTCCTGCTCTTTCCCCTTTCCCTTCTGTGTGTTCCCTTTTCAAACATTTGTCTAATTCTCTTTAGAATTTTAAGTGCAGTAACGCACTATCCTGGTGATGGACACTCTAGAAATGTGAGGAGTTTTTTTTGTTGTTGTTGAATGGCGGAATGGCCTACTCCTGTTCCTATGTTCCTAGAAACCTATTATGGATTCTGTTTCCACCACTGGATTTGGTACAGAATCCTGCTGTCCTCTGTGTTTGTGGTGTTGCCAGCAGGCACCGAGTGGTGGAAATGGTTTCTCCGTCACATCAACAGTTTCTGGCTGAAGGAAGAATTTGCTTTTAATTATCGAGAATTCACACAAGGAAATCTGAGGGAACCGTTCTGATCTTGTGAAACAGGATCCAGTGAACAGGAAAAAAAAATCTTTCAGCACCAACATTTATTTACTCAACAGATGCTTTACTCAGTTAATGAAATCACTAAAATCTTCTTTAGCAAACGCACCCTTGTGGAAAGGAGAAAGGGTGTTCATTTACAGAGGCACAGATACAATATCGATCCCCATTTAAAAGCCATATCTGTGGCAATAGATAATAAGATATGGATTAAACAAAATCTCTTAGAGTTGCACTCGCTCCATGCCTTATCTAAGAGCTGCCTGGATATCGCTTCCTACCTTGCGTGTTTGACGTATCCACATGTTGTTGCTGGAGGTGTCTGACAGCACAGAGTTTTTGTTCAGCTAGTTATTGCAGTTCTGGCCTGGCTCCTCGGCAGGACTCCCAGGGGGTGGAACGGTCACTGGGATCAGGGATTCTTCCCACTCACGTCCCGTTAACTCTGCAGACCAAAGCTCTGGCGGGTAGGGAAGGGTTATTCAAGCTGGACAAGCAGTTTGTTATTCAGTGCTCTTAATGACAACCGTGCAGTGTTAGCTGGTTAGCTCCACACACACTCTGGGTGTGTCAGCCCATCGCCAATCTGTGCCTAATACTCACCAGGTTGGTCTCTCTAGGGAGAGAGTATACACTCCATTCCAGCCACGGGGACATTTCCACGAGCAGATGGTAGACGTATAAGGAACTGTTTCGGAGACTCTTAAGCCCGGGTTGCCAGACACCGGGCTGAGCAGAGTAGTAAAGGAAAGAGCTTGCTTGCCACCTGGAGTAGTTTGTTTACGTTTTCACATTCTTTCCGTCCAGAAACCTGGTACCGGTCACTCAGCTTTACGTCAGCGTGGATGCGAGTACTCAGGACAGCCTCAAGAAAATTGACCGCCCTCTGTTTAAGGATTTCTGGCCGAGATTCCTCGCGTGTCTCCAGGGCTTGGCAGACAAGGTACGTGTGGAGACCCCAGAGTGTGGGGGTGAGGGGGTGGAGGTGCTTTTGAGAGTGGTAATGTTACAACGTCAATCACTCTCAATGTGAAGAGTTCACTCCATTACTGGGTCATTGAGGTAATAAGTAAGGGATTCTTGTTGTTCGAATGATTACAATTTACACCAAAGGGAAGTTCAGGTTAACAATCCTCAGTGGTTCAAGGTCCATTGCCGTGGAGTTTACGAGGAGAACTGGAAGCTGTTGTAACTGGCGAGAAGCCCAGAGAGGAGAGACCAGTGTGAGAGAAGCCTGACAGCCGAGGGTTCATTTCCATTTCATTAATACCTTGTTTCTGATTAATGAATGCTTTGCTGTTGGCATCTCCCATTGCCCAGTGTTTACTGACCATCTATAAACTCACAGCTGACTCACAAGATGCCCAGATTACCTGACGTTCTTTACTGTGTAATCAATCGCCTAATGGCTCTTACCTCTGCACAGACACCACATGAGACGGCCAGAGCATCATTTACAGCTGGCGGGCCAGGTCCTGAGACAAAATCAGCAGAAGGCTTTCATTTGTCTCTGGAGAGTTAAGCAAATGGTTAAATGACAGATTCCCTTGTGATGCATTTAGTTGATCAAGACTATATGCTGATTGTGTGGCCATTTCATGTCCAGGCACAATGGGTCTCTCTCTCTCAGATGCATGGAGCAATCAGCCTGCTTTCCAGTAATTACTATCGAAACCTGACAGCTCAACAAGACAAATGGCTTCTGTTTCTCTAGCTGCCCTCATCATTAAGATATAAAGTTCTCCACCTCTTATTATCCCACTTTAATACAGTTCAGTGGCATGTCGATGAGTGACTGAGGTAGTATGGCCTTCATTCTTTGAACATATTTCATTATCCCCATCATTCACACACTCCCGATTACAGTATCCCCTTTTCTCCCTGACCTGGTAGCCTTGGCTCTGTGCCATGTCTCTGCCTTGCGGTTTCTGCTGTATTTTGGTTCCTATGAAAGAACAAAGGTTTAAATACGCATGAAAGCTTTGCGTACAGCATGGGCTGGGGGAATGCGAGACTTGGGTGCCTTGGAAGGATTTACAACAACTTGCATTTATACAGCGCCCCTCACGCAGGGTAGCGTCCCAGAGCGCTTATAATAATAATAATCCTTGCATTTGATACAGCGCTTTTCACATCTTCTAGACGTCTCAAAGCACTTCACAGAATATACTGTAAAGTGAATTGACTGTATATTTGTGGGCGAACGCGGCAGCCAATTGCGCACAGCAATGTCCCACAAACAGTGATGGAGCTCGGCGCAAGCCAGGGGGAGGTGTCAGTAGACCTGAAGATGAGGAGGGAGGGGGCAAGGCGTAGGGATAGAGGAAGAGAGTTCCAGAGTTTCAGGGTGTAGTGGCTGAAAGCGCAGCCACCAATGGTGGAAGGGAGGGCACCAGTGACACGCAGGAGGCTGGAGCCAGTCCGGTGGAGGCAACGGGTTGTGAGTTGGGGAGTAAGCAGGTCAGAGAGGTTGGGAGGTGTCAAATGCATGAAGGGATTACAGTGATTGGATGAAATTTTATACAAAAAATCTTTGCTCCACAATTCTTGCAATAATAATAATCCTTGCATTTGATATAGGATCTTATCACGTTGCCGAGATGTCTCAAAGCGCTTCACAGAAAGTAACGTGAATTGACTGTATATTTTGTGGGTGAAACAATTGTTTAATACAGAGGGTTTTTTGTATCAATGATCAATTCTTTTCAAGTCAATAACTTGGATACTTTTTTTNACTCCTTTTCTTTAAAAGTGGATTCTTTTATTATATGATTTTGGTATGGCCACGTGACTCGAGGTAACTCCCAGACCATGTGTTTATTTAATATTTATTAACATACATGACACACGCGATTTTATTTGAATCTAATCATCACCTCGATGCTGGTTGATTGAAATAAGATGATGTTTTGGATTCCTTTCTAGGACTTTATCACATTAGTACTTTATTCTACAGAGTGTTAAACTGCAGATTGATTTAAATGTCTTTGGAAAATCAATGAGAACATTATAGGTTTTATGTCTGACACCTGAAATCCATTCGTTCTTCTCTAATTGTATGGGTTTTGTCTCAGCGCTGTGCTAACCAGAGCAACTTTGTATATTTGCCTATATTTCACCCTTCACAGACTGACCGTTCATCTCTGGAATCCCTTATGCCTTTGCTTACGAAACGCAGTCACTACACTTTACAGTAAATTCTGTGAACTGCTTTAAGATGGCCTCCTGATAGCTGGCGAAAGGATCTGGGTCGAATGCATGGGATATATATTTGTGTTGCCTTTAGACAGAACCTCTCGAGTAAAGGGACACCTAAAAGTGTTCAGTGAATGCAATGGTGGTCAGCGAGCGAGGCAAAGGGAGTTTAACGTTGACGACAAAGGAATGGTCAAAGGGAGATTGTTTGAGCAGAGAGAGAGTGACCAGGCAAACCTGGTGTAGAAGTGAAGCCATCCCCATCACCAGTTTTTATGGCCACAGAGTGTATAACTATGTTACAGGCACTCCAGCCCGCTCTGGGCTTTCAGAAACTATTTGATCTTCTTAACAACTCACAGCAGAGTTACCGGCAGCGTCAGTAAGCTCCATTCAGTCCCCCTTCAGCTGCTGACTCAGTGAGCTGCCGAGTCCTCCCCTCCCCCACAGCCAGACACCATTCAATTTACTAGAATTACTTTTATTACTTTTTATTCCTTTTGTTTCTAAGCAATTTATTTGGGGTAAAAATCTCAAGTTCCCCCATGCTGTGGCGGACAGGGATTGATTAATTACTGAGCCCAGGGTCCAAGCACTCCACCCGCTCACCCCCCCCACCAGCCTTACCCGAGTCACACTCCCCCCCCCCCCACAACCCCCAGTCTTACCCCAGTCACACCCCAGTACCTACCTCTTCAACAGCACTGACGGTCACTGTGCCATTCTCCCTCCCTGGGGTCCAACGCCACCCCACTGCGGCGCTGGGTCAGCGCAAGTTATTGCCTGAGAAACTTGCATTTTAATTTTGCTGAAATGAATTTGGTTTTGCCTCCTCCCTCCCCCACTGCCCCCCCCACCCACTCACCCCCCCCACACCGCCAACCCCCACCCACTCACCCACCCCCACCCATCGTGAATACTTGCCATTGTATCTCACTCAATTCAAATAATTGTATCTTAACTAACTGTGACTCACAGGGAATAGGAGATTGCAGTGAATGCCCAAAGTGGATTGTGTGAGTTTTAAATGACTTATTTAATCATCCCTGCAGCCCATCTCATCTCCAGTCTCGGGTTTTAATTGTTACTGGGAGCTTTGATTGATTTTTTTTCACAAGTTGCTGTTTGGGAGGTGTGTTGGGGTCTGTGTGTCTGTCTGGTCTGTATATCCAGAGGTGTTAATCATAGCGTAGAGATATGATTGATCTCCAACTGTGCTTGCTGAGATTGAATGCAGTGCGTGTTTATGACAGTGATGGATTTTGTGCTGTTCTTTTGCCAGTATCGGTTTTGCTCTCAGTTGCAATGCGAAATGTTGCATAATGAATTGGAACGCACGTTGCTTTTGTGTTTTTATTGTGGCGAGCGAGGCGCTATTTACACTGAGTAAGGACTTTATTCTCGGGGCCCTTCAAGTCCTTAAATACAGGAACTTTTTGCAAGTGAATATTGAATGGCTTACCTGGTAAACAAGATTGGATTTCATTGATTTCTAGCATTTCTCTTGCAAAAACAAATTGTCTTTTGTCAAACAATTAAGCAAAGCAATATGTTGCAGAGGCTTACTCCGTCAGCAGATTCATAAACCTAATGTGGGCACATTAAAATGGAAAGCAATTTTTTCCTGAGATTCATTGTATTTATGTTTCGCTGCCAACATTTTCAAATGCGCATTTTTGTTACTAGTGGATGTGTTTAATCAATTTATGGCGCTGTGTGTTTTTAAAAATACACCTGCTAATGCAATTGCATTTGAGATTTAAATCAAGGAGTGAGATTATTATTTGACTTCGTTTTCTTCACCTGCCATTAGTTAGATTTCTTCAAAGATCTCAGCAGCGTGCAATTGTGACCTGTCAATTCCAATCCAATGGGGATCTCTCACTGAACTGGAAGCCCTTTAGCCCACGTCCATCTCCAGGGCTTTCTATACTGTATAATAATAATAATATTGTAAGGATTATTATTTCTGTGTTGATTAAAGTGTTTTATAGTAGACGTTTTTAAGTTCTGGAAAGGTGGGACATGAGTGTTTTCATGTTGATCTAACTCGTGTGTGTGTCGGTGTGTGTGTAAGATCAGTTTAATCGCCCACAAAAATACAGTTAATTCACTTTACAGTATATCCTGTGAAGCGCTTTGAGTTGTCTCGAAGATGTAATAAGTCGCTGTATCAAATGCAAGGATTATTTTTATTAATCAACAGAATCCATTCATAGCTGTTCCCATATAGCATCTGATAAACTTTGCGGAAGGACTCAGACTTGTCAGTGCTGGGTTCTCCAGGTATTTTGGTTGCTGTAATTATTTAGTTTAATAGCCGGAGGGTGTTGAGCGTCCTCAAACCTGTCTCAGTCTCAGCTTTCCCACCTTGTCCCCCCACAGTCCCGAGAGATTAACATCTCAATGGAAATGGAGTGCTTCAGAGATGCTAACCACACAACACTGTCTGTCCCAAAGGATTAACGTTTGCTGATCAGATACTTCACTTGTCTTCTGATGCACATCTTTCTCCCAGCTTCTCCTGAGAAAGTAAATTTCGTTCTTGAGAATAATGAAACTTGATTAAGTGAGTGTATTATTGCCTGCTGAGGGGGTGGGGGAGGAGCTTCACTGTGAATCTGCACAATGATGGCCGTTCTCTTGGAGGTTTCACCCAGTAATAGACTGTCATTGCTGTAGAATATTAGAGACTTGACACTGGGGTTAAGGAGAGATGAGAAATCATCCATTCGTCCCCCAGCGAGT